CCACGTAGTCAGCCCACTAACCCGAGTTTTTACAGTGGGTTTTCCTTCCCCTCGTCAGATTGTCTGGCAACCTCCCAGACTAACGAGCCCGATGCACGAGTTTGGTATTGGGGTTCTTCCTCCCCTTCACATAGGTTGCTTGCCCACGAAGCCAAGCCCTCGCCCGGGTTTGATAACGGAGTTTCCAATCTCCGGAATAGGTTGCTCAAGGCTAACGAACCCGGGTTTTTGCAGTGGGTTTTCCTTCCCCTCGTCGGGTTGTCTAGAAACCTCCCAGACTAACGAGTCCGATACCCGGGTTTTTATAATGAGTTTCCCGTCCCCTCGTTGAGTGCCTGGAAAATAGGCTAACGGGCCCTCATCGCCACGGGTTTTTATGGATGTCCTTCCCCTGTTTGGTGGCCTCCCAAAAGCGAGGCTAACAAGCCTAAACGCCCGCGCTGCAGGGTCCTTCGTGCCGCTCGAGAACAGCCCTCTAGTCCCTTAATGCTTCAAGAGGCAGCTGCCCATCTCGAAGCATGTATTGGTCGCTCTTAGTAGCCACTCTCCTCGGTTCACCCTCGAACATGGAATCCTGAGATTCCAAGTCGAGTCCATCCCCTTGGATCATTGTGGCCTTCAAGCTTTTGCACCACGACAAGGTGGCGACCATCCGCAGAAGATCTAACCCGCCTCCCCCGAGCGTAGGGACCGGGAAAGGGGAGTGGAGGCCTAGTTAGGGCTGGGCCCCACTCCCCGCCCCCTTGACCAGCAAGGGGGCTTGGAGGAAGAGTGGGTATCCACCCCTCCAGTAAATATAACCAGAAGGCCAACCCGACCGGGCGACCACGCCCCCGATTTCCTTTGTGGGAGGGGGCGCGGTACTTAGGCGTGGGACTCTGATAATGAGCTCTGGAGCCGGGGTGTTGGGGAGGGAATACGAGAGTAGTTTCCCTGACTCCCCCCATCACGGTACGAAAGGTAGATACCCCGGTAGGGTTTTAGCTGATAGGAGTCCGGCATAACTCCCGTCCTCTCTAAAGGGCGGGGGTGTCCATGATGGATTTCCTCACCGTTAAAAGAAAAGAAAAAAGCTCTTGGCGGCCGGCCGCCCGACTGCCCAACTTATCGACGACTTTACAGACACCGAAATGTAACACGAGCAGCGAAAGAGTAAAGGTCATTCTACAATACGTGTTGTAAGTTGTAAGCCGTAAGAATTAGCGAATCACAGTCGACTATTACAAAAATAATCGGCTATAATTGGCCAGTTCTTACGGCTTACAACTTACGACACGTGTTGTAGAATGACCTTAAATGTTGCATCGATAAAGACATGTGTATGAGAAAGCGGGAGAATATAAAGACTGCCACGTTTATTTAGAGGACTATTGCCGCACACTAATTGTATGTTTATTGTTACGCAATAATATTAAATAGACTTCGTAAAATAGTATGGACACAGAAAACAATTTTTTTACCGTCACATATATGCGATATTAAATTTAAGTAAGAGATCGATACGGTGCATATATATGACGCTGATTGAAAACATATTAAATTCTTTTATTATTGAAATAATTATGCGTACACGGAAGTGTTTCTTTCGTAATAAATGTTTGGGTGGCTCTGAAAAGAGTCGTTTGATATTTAGTTTTTAATTGTTTACTGTTTTAACAAGAAACACACGATTAGTGTGCGACAATAGTCCTCTAAATAAACGTGGCAGTCTTTATATTCTCCCGCTTTCTCATACACGTCTAATATACTTTATCGATATAACATTTACTCTTTCGCTGTTCGTGTTACCATTTCAGTGTCGGTAAAGTCGTCGATAAGTTGGGCGGTCGGACGTCCGGTCGCCGAGAGCTGGCGTGTAATAACGTGCCAGAGAGGGGGACCTTCATTTCCTTTCTTACGGAACGAATCGATGAAATAAACTGTACATCCCATGGACAGCCATTGGACGAATACGAACATCCCATGTACCTCCATGTCGAACGTCCATCGGACGTCTTTCGGCCGGTCTTTAGGCTATAATATGTATATCCTATGAACGTCCCATGAACGTCCGTGTCAGACCAATTGGCCGTCCGTCGGACGTCCAGCGAACATTCTTGTGTTATATGGGTACATGTTTAATATTAGTCATCTTATACGTTGCAGAAATAAGACGACAAATAGTGGGTCATAAGATGTCTTTTACTCATCTTTTCATCGACTATACGCTTTACCAAAAAGATGTCCATATCGAAAATCTGTCATCTTTTAGTCAACTTTTAGATATCTTTGTGCTGTCTGGGAAACTGCAATAATTTCTCCAGATCTTATCACAAGTACAGTGTAGAGAACTTTTACGTATGTTTAACATGTTGTCAAACATCAGATGGTGCACAGTTCGAGCATCTTTTATAAATTATGTTATTGAAAAGGGAGCTCCATTGAACACATATCTAGGTGAACCCCTACCTCGCCTTTACTAACCTCTACCTTACCTATAATAGTCGGATCTTGCCTTCATTGGCCAGATCATAGTCAGCTCTTGCTTTCGTTGGCCGGATCATAGTCGGGTCTTGCCTTCATTGGCCGGATCATAGTCGGGTCCTGCCTTCATTGGCCGGATTTTCGTTCGAAGTGTTCGAACACAAAAGAGATGTGTGGCGGTCGACCCTCTCCCGCCATCTACGGCGACGTCCGCGAGTTCGCCTTCGCTTAGCCGCCGCAAGCAGGTGCTTCAGCCGAGGGCGCTCTTCCGAGCCCCCGGTCCCGTGCTCGCGAGTCGTCTTGCACTCGCGAACAGAGTCTGGTTCCGACTGTCGTCGTGCACAGTCGTTCTCAACCAGAGAGTCCGATTTTGTTCGCCGCCGAGAACAGTTGTGCTCATCGCAGTAGCTCTCCACCGCGCATCGCGTGCAGCAGCTCTTATCCGCGCATCGATTGCAGCAGCTCTCATCCGCACATCGCGTGCAGCAGTTCTCAACCGCGAATTGTGCGCGGCAGGTGCTCAAACGTGCACCACGTGCGTTCGTGCACACTGTCGCCGCGCGGGCCGCCGCAGCAGTTCGCCCACGACTGCAACAGACAATTCGTGCCTTCGCCTGCATCGCCGACCCGCCATCGCGTGCACTTCCTGGGCTGCCGCTTCCTGAGTGAGTCTCGTTTCTGTGTTGTTCGTCAGCGAGTCTCGTCCCGTCGCAAACATTACCGCGAGAGTACCACGTCGCGGACGCCACCGTGAGTGCTCGCAGCGTACTTTTCCGCGAGTGCTTTCATCGCGTGCGTTCTCGCAAGTGCGTCTCGCTGCACTCGCTTACGCGAGGGGCCATCGCCGTGGACCCTCCTCGAGCGCATTCTCGCCGTGCGCTTTCGCGCCCCGCGCGTCCACGTGCTCTGCGCAGCGCTCGTCCACGTGCGCGCCGCGCGTTTGTTCCGTGCGATCACATGCGCGCCGTGCGGTTGTATTCGTACGATCACGTGCGCGCTGTGCGTTTGTTTTCGTGCGACCACGTGCGCGCCGTGCTTTTGTTTTCTTGCGTTCACGTGTGCCGTTGCGTGATCGACGCCCGCCGTTATTTGGCCAGCGTGTGTTTGTCCTAGCGAACGTTTCTTGTTTGCGTGCGTGCCGTTTTGTTCGGAAAATAATAAAGTTTCTGTTGCGCCTACTCGATAGTCATTCAGTTTCTCGCGTCTTCGAACGCGGCGTGCAAAGGTTCGTTGCTCGTCCGTCGCGTGCACGGCGATCAAGGGCACGGGTGCGCGTGTCCCCTTTGACTTCCTCCGTGTGGAGGGTGAGCGGAGGCCGTGCGCGCTAGACATCGCCGCGCGCCTTCCGCCCCACAGATATAAATCCGACTGGCAACCTCCGCGTGGTACATCTTGGGTTATGCTAACGCCGGCGCTATTGTAACGTTCAAGTTTCATAATTCGGAAAGTACTTAACGAAAAATAATTTTATTATACTGTTTTGGAAAGCTCTCGAGATAAGCTACAAATAAATGTAATAAAAAGTGGGGATTCCATTTAAAAACTTCGAATTGACCTTCAAATAAGCTTTACCTCAAGGCCAAGTTCAAGGTCACCATCAAATGCCTTATTTTAAGCCCTACAACTTACATTCGAAACATTTTTTTCTGAAATGCTTAGTTTTCGAAATATTCAGGATCCCAGAACTTTTGGCGGACCCTGTATGTTAAAACAATTATAATGTTTTTACTACTACATATTCTTATGTATATATGTACAAGTGAGTACATGAGATAAATATATTATAATTGTTTTAATATACACTGTTTAATAAATCATTTTACTTAATTTATAAATTCTGTAAAAATATTTATATCTTGATATGTACCTCATATCTAATATACATATATAGAGCTTACAAAAAAAAATTAGAGAAAGAAAGTGGGAGGGAGAGGCAAAAAGAGAGAGAGAGAGAGAGAGAGAGGGAAAGAGAGAGAGAGATAGAGAGAGGCAAAGATGGAAAGAGCTAAAGAGAAAGATAGGTAACTTTTTTATCAATACAGCAAATATATAAAAAATTTTCATATGAAAACATTTTATGACCGAGATAAATGATAAAATATATATCTTAAATGGTAGAAATGCAATGACTTTTACAAAAAGCACATATGTTACGCATTATAAATTTTTGTTCACTTTTTAATAACAAGTAATTGTTATATATATGAAAACATGTATATAATATAAACACAAGTAGTGCAATTAAAATTAATTTTATTAAAAATCTTTACATATTAAATAAACTTTATACAATATGGAAACAACTACAATGACAAAATAAATGTAAATAAAATGAATACAATAAAAAAAAGAATGTTTTATTCATTGCTACATTGCCAATATTTATTTAAGTGAGCAATGTATAGAACATAGATATGTAAATTTTGACATTTATGATCATGAACCTGCACATTCATACTCGTGTATCAATGAAATATATATATATAAATTATACAATTTCAATACCAACAAAAAATAATGGAAATTATTTAAATTGGTACGCTTTACTTTCATATATTTGTCCAATGTGTCATAAATAACATTTTCCTCAAATAACTGATTTAAACTGTATATAAATGCTGATTATTCAAGAATATATATCCATACGAAAAATGTGTAATATTTCAAAGAGTATTGTTCAAGTCAAGTCGTGGCCTTTTACTGCGTACTGTAGATCCATCATCTTGTGAATCACCATTAGTGGATAAAAATTCCCTTTTCCTATCAGCATTCTGAAAGGTATATCATGTTTATACCCAAAATAATATATTAAAGTCAATTGATAAAAATAAAGTACCTGCTTATTAAATAATATTATGTATCGTATTGCTTACTTTTTTATCCCATTGTTGATGAAGATACCTTAGTAAGATGGTAGTTTTCTCAGTAACTATAACTGCACATATAATTCTAATTAACTACCATATCTATTTGAAGTACAGTCATTACTCTGCAATAAGTATTTACTTTGCTCTGAAGGATAATCCTTGGTAGGAAGATAGACAGATGGTCTCTTAACACACGTCCGGTTCCCATTGTCAGTATGAAAATTTGCAAAGTTGTTCTCATTATGTGAAGGGAGGCCTTTCAAAAATTCTGCAACAGACTACAAAAAGAATTTTTTAAATACAAAAATTATACAAACTTATTTTATAAAGTAGGTTAAAAAGGATAATATTCTTTTATATTCAAATAATATAAAAATAATAAAACTTATTGAGAAATCTTAAAGTTAATTCCGAAAAATTAAAAGCTTCACATAAACGTTACTTTTTAAATTTAGAAAACGACATATGTAACCTCTAAAATCGATAAAAATACATATGGGCGATAGAATGAGAAATGTAATTCCCAGTAGACACAACACTTCTCACCATCGTGAGTGAATGTATAATCTGTTAACTACAAGACTCAATGGTTGTCCACTTAAAAAAAATAAACTATTTCGTACTATTAAATTGATATAAAGGTGACTGTCGTCATTGCTATCGAACGATCATAGAATACATTACGAGATAGATTCGGCCATACCATAAGCAAATCAAGAAGATGACACTTGAAAGGTTGGTTTAGTGGCACTGGCTACATTCAGCAAAGGCTGCGTTCAGAAAACACAACGGTTACATAACGGTTGAGTAATTCGTCAACGTTATTGGTCTGAATGTAAGGATCTAATAGTAAGGACCAATAGTTACTAAGCGCTCAGTGAGCGCTTTGTTTTCTGAACGCAACCACTTTCAACAGTTGGACAACATTACTAGATTTTCCATTGAATCTCGCTCCTGATTGGTAAATACTTCTGGGTCTATGAAGAATCTAAAAGAATGCTCCAATCACAGACAATTATCACTAAGCGGTCTCTGATCACTTTGTTCTACTGAACGCAGCTACTGAAACTCAATGACGTATATAACTAGATCAAGAACTGTGTTCTAAAATTCACTGCCAGTACCGAAAATACATAGTTTATGTCACGTATATTATAGATTTTCAATGCTGGCAGTGAATATTGGAACGCAGCCCTCGCATTCGACCAGTTTATATGGGCTGCGTTCACTGTAAGGCTATTCACTGTAAGGCCTAGTACACAATGCAAAGGCACAGGAAATAGGAACAGGGAATGGGAACATGAAATAGAATAGAAACCTGTATAATACTGAAACACAATTGTCTCCTATGTTAACCAATCATCTGCTGTTGTGCTTGTGCGCATGTGCTGAACGAAAATCTGCCTACAATAATATTGAAACCGAATTAAAAAGTTTTAGTATTTAATTTCGGTTTTTGTCAGACGAGATTTAAGTAGTAAAGGGAATTGCTTCCTGCAATCATTAAAGTCGCAAATATAACATAGATCAACATGAACAACGTATTTAATTATTATGCATTTTTTGTGTTATATACATCATAATATTGATTCACTTTTTTTATAGGACAAAGATAATTTTATGCTATTTCTGGTTCATGTGCAAATATTTGGATTATATGCCATTTGGAAAAGAAGAAAACGTAAGCGTTGGATCAATAGGAGATGGTGGGTGGGACCCATAAACACAAGACGAGAAGAATATGGTGATTTTACAACCCTTCTTGCGGAATTGAAAGAAGATCGTGATCTTTTCTTTCGATATACACGAATGGATGTCGAAACATTTTATGAATTACTGGAAATGGTGCGACCTTATCTACAGAAAAACAGTTTACGAGAACCAATTTGTCCGGAACAACGGCTTACATTTAGGTAAGATAGATGTGTTATTCTAATAACACATTATAATAATAACAAAGTACAATATTCATTATTATTTAAACAATTTTATCATAGATATATGGCTAGTGGCGATCAAGTATTGTCATTAGCTCTCACTTATAGAGTAAGAGTGTCTACTGCTCATAAAATAATAAAAGAAACCTGTGACGTTATTACCAGTGTTTTAATGAGTATATTATATGAAAACTACTTCAGAAGATGAATGGAAAGATATGAGCAGAGATTTTTTAACTAACCAACTGCGACGAACTTTATTGTTGAATGGAGAAGGGATTGTTCTTGGCATCGGCGAGGTTGATAGTTGTAATGGAGTTGTTCTTGGCATCAGCGAGGTTGGTTGTTGCAACGGAGAAGGAGTTGTTCTTGGCGTCGGCGAGGTTAGTCGTTGCAACGGAGAAGGGGTTGATCTTAACATCGATGAAGTTGATTACTGTGACGGCGAAAATGCTGGTATATGCAATTCTACAAGTGCTGTTGGCTACAAATAATTTAATAAGAATAATAATATGAATAATAAAATAATAATTCAATGGTAACAAATGTATAATTAAGAAAATTATACAAATGTTTTACCAGAAATAGAGATAATAAAAATAAATACCAAAGACTTTTATATAAAATAGGACTATTATATTGTTAAAATATACTTTGGCGGCATGTATTTTAGCAGTATGTATGTTTTGAATCTAAAATAATCACCAACGTATTTTCAGATAGATTGTTATTGCACAAGGTAACTGGAGTCCAATCAGATGGCGATTCTTTATGACAATCCATGAACTAGAAATCAATAAATGTAAATGAGATTAATATATCTTTCACATAAAATTGCATATAAGATTGTTATCTACAATACATATAACTGGTTTTGAAATTAAGTATTAATTTACTACAGTTACACACTATAATATTCTGCTGAATACATTTGAATTTGAATTTGCAATAATTACATTATACATATATGAAATAATTACATTATAAATTATGAAATAGGCAACGTGCAAATCCTGTTATGATAACATCTTGTACTAATACTATTACTATAAGACAAATGGTTAAATGTATTATAACAGAATACGTTATTTATTTAAAAATAATAATCTTTTGTACCTTAACGTTGTCATTTTGGTAATTATAGTATTGCACATTTCGAGGCTGATTTGCTAAGATATTAGATGTTGCACCAACATTACTCACACTTCTGAAATCATGATAATTACAGTATAGATATAGATAAAATGAAATATTGAAAAATGTGATGAGATTATTTTGCCAAATAGTCATTTTGTCAAATAGTCAAAGTGTCCATTACACAAAAATATAAAATCAGTTGCAGACAAGAAATTAGAAGAAACTGGTAAATTCGTTGGCATCATCAAAAATTAGTGCACTAATGCAGTGAAAAAGAACCTATTATAACCTATAATAACATTATAAATCTATTATAACATATGTAATATAACAGATGCTCTGTATTGACTGAGTCTATAATTAATTTTGTAATGAAAAAATGAAACAAACTTTCTCTGAAAGACGAATTGCCCCAAAAAATTTAAGTGGTCGAATAGAGACCATTTTTTTCTGGTAGGTTGCCTGCTCCATTTCTAGTTTCTAGTTCTCGCTGCTGCCTTTCTTTACTGAATCATTGGTGGAGACGAACCCAATGTGTTTGGCAATCCAATGCTACACGAACGTATACAAAAATAGAATTAGATCTAAGTAAAAAGAAATTTTAATAGGGAAAATGTATTAAATATATATCATATAATTTTCACTACTAATAAATATATAAAAATATTTTTACCACAGTAAATACCATGTAAACTCAGTATTTTACGTCTCTAGCTCATAAAGTATTGGGTTAAATATTTACTTGATATTCATAACAGAAAATATCTCTGTTCATGCATTTTCTTTCGTGTTTGGATCACGATATTGCTTCAAACTTTTGTCATAAAGAAGTGGTCGAGATCTTACTAGATCTATCAGTAGTTCATCGCCTATTTTTTCATTCTGCGTATAATATTCTATATTTATGAAATCATTCTCGTTTTCTTTTTTCATATCGTCTGTCTCCTGCGAGCTATCGAATGTTCTTTTTCGGCAATATTCGTGATATTCGTTATACACTTCTCTCATAATGTTTGCACAGATGAAATTATTTACGAATAAAGATAACCTCTAATGTCCATGAAAATACGCAGCCTCTCCATACACAAACTGTCTCTCTGTGATTGGTCAGGAATAGGGAATAAGGAACAAAAATCCAACGCGTCGGAAATTCTGTTCCTGTTGCCTGTGTCTATGTTTATTATCAGAGAGAAGCCTGAGAGCGAGCATGGCTGCATTTACAGCGTTATTGAAAAGTTGGCTGATTCGAAGCGCCAACTGGCGCTTCGCCATTCATATATGATATTCGCCATATCATATAGTAGTTCATATCCATTTTTCATGGATATGAACTACTAAGCCAATGTCCACGATTTGTTGGTACTATCCCGTGCTATGTCCATAATTATTTAGTTCTCTTCTGTGCCATGTTCACGAGCGAGCTAGATTAGTTAGATAAAAACGAAGAATCGGTCTTTGTCTCACCACCAGCGAATAGACAATCGCGACGAAGCGAGCCAGCAGCGATGTATCGTAAGGCAGACGTCGCCGTCTCCCCTTTCACCCCCTTGTTTTCCTTTCCACATTGTTTTATATTCGTAATTCGGGAAGAAAATAATTTCGAGAGTTCGGACGATTTCTAGTAATGACGCGACAGAGATAACGCGCGGCCACATTAATTTGTCATGACTTTTATATTACTTATAATTACATAAACGCCCATATATGCAAATTATAGATAATTATTGCGCGTATGTTTTAATATTGTACAATATGGTATATAATAACAACTTCATTTCTTGCAGTAATTTTTTTAAGATCGTTCGTTGAGGTCGTGAATTAATTTTTTTCTTCATCAATCAGTTTTCTGCAAAATTACGATTTTTTAAATAAAATATAAAATGTTTCTCTTCTCTTCTCTCCGAAGAGTTAATTAAAAAATATGTACTCCACAGAGTCAACTAAAAAATGTGTAGTCAGAAGAGTCAATTTAAAAGTGTCCGAAAAATCAATTTAATAGCGTATTCCGAAGAGTCAATTTGAAAGCGTACTCTGAAAATTGAAATTAATATTATAATCCGAAAAGTCAATTTATAATAGAATATTTACTTCGATGATTCAGCTAAAGAAAAAAACATTTATTTATTAATATATTCAGAGAATAATATTTAATTTATTATTTATACTTATCTTACTTATGCTTACCCTACATATGCTACTTTGAATGAAAAATTTAATTTGTTGACTGATTTAGATTCAGATTTGTTAAAATATCTCTTATGCGCAACTCTTGAATAGGTAGGTAGTAAAATAATTTTCTTTCTTTACGAATTTTATAAACTTTTCACGAACATAAAAATTGAAAGATTCTCAGAGAACAAATAACTTTTCTTGAACATTTAAGCCAAAGCAAAACCTTTTCCCATTAATAAAGAATGAATAATTAATATCTCACACAAGAGGAATCTTCATCCTTGAAATCACCGCGCGATTTTGCTTTTACAAAAATATAATATTGATGTAATAGTAACAAATGCTATCCAAAAACGGTGCAAATCTTAAACGTTTTTGAGAAATGCAGTTTGAAGTTTAGTCTTTTCTGTTTTTCTGTAGTCTTTCTGTTAATGTCGTTATAGCAGAAGAATTACCAATTTGCTTCAGTAGCGTAGAACTATGTAGAATGTATAATAATACGCAGACAAATTCTTTACATAATCATACTTATTTCTTTTAGCATGAATAAAAATGATCAATGCTAACATGATAAGTGTATATCGCAATTGTACGTGTACACATACATACACACATACACACGTATACCAATGATGTCAAAACCGAACAATTCGTGAAAATTTTTTATTGATCGCAATTGTACGCAAAGATGAGAGAGAAGTACACGGGTATCTCGTCATATTAATTGTCTATGAGCTGATAAACAGTTGATCTCCGATATTTACAAGTTACGCTTGTCCGCAGCTTGTTCGATTTTGACATCATTCGTATCAGTAATGCGAATTTAGTGACGGGCTTGCACGAGGATTCTCCCTCTCCCTCCCCGTGCACGCACACAGCCGGCTCGGTCAATCCGTGTGAGCCACGCGATCGGCAATTGTCAACGCGCCGAGCGAGAGAGAGAAAGAGAATATCATTTCCTCCTTGTCGCTCTCGTTCTTAGCGAGCGAGCCTAATTCTTTCTTGCCCATAATCTGAATCGCGAGCGCGACTGTCTCTCTCTCTCCTTTCCTCTCTATGACAATACTGAAAGTTTTGTCTACTCGACGCACCGAAATTATTACAAATAATATTTTATTATTAATAATATTATTATTTGTAATATATATTATTTGTAATATTATTATTTGTAATTTTATTTGTAATTGTATAATAATGTTACAAATATATACAAATTTTTACAAATTTTATTTGTAAAAATTTACATCATTTGTAATATTATTTGTAATAGTATTAATAATATTCGGCGCTAAGAAAATGAAATATATTTTATTAATTATTTTGCGGAGTCGGGCAGGTTCACAAGTTTGATTATTGAATTGTTTAATAATCTTTTAAGAATAATTTTAAGTTATACATGGATGTAGTATGAAATATAAAAGAATATTGTAACAGAATCAAGAAGTACGAAATGAAACCTCTTTGCTCTTATTACAATATCCTGTAAGTTAATAAATATTTTTCATACGGTATTAAATAATCTCCAAAAACAATTATTAGGAGCGCAAAAAAGTTCTGAGCCCTAGATTTCATACTACTGAAACCACAATTTAAATTGCATTAATTTTCCCGCCCTCTTGCGGTTTTAAAGCAGTGACATTTGGTCTTTCGAAACATCGTGCGATTTGGCGTTTGATGCACACAACCTTAAAATCAGCAGTGTTCACGATGGCAATAATAAAAGAGCATATTCGACTTTCCACTTCGCGTTTCATCTGAAGAAAAATGCTGCTGAAGCCACTGAAATGATCTGTGTTGCATATGGAGAGAACGCTGTAAGTTATGCTACGTGTAAAAAGTGGTATAAAAAATTTCGCCAAGGAGATTTCAGTCTTGAAGATGAACCGCGTGCTGGACGCCCTCAAAAGATTGAAACGGACGAACTGCAAGCATTGTTGGATATAAACTCTGCACAAACTGAAAAGGAGTTTGCAGAGCAACTTGGCGTTACGCGACAAGCCATTTCCACACGTTTACATGCAATGGAAAAAGTTTAAAAGGAAGGCAGATGGGTTCCGCATGCACTGTCCGAAGACAACAAAAATCGACGGCGTGACACGGCACTCACTTTGCTTTCAAGGTTCCGGAAAAAGGATTTTCTGCACCAAATCATTACAGGTGATGAAAAGTGGATACTTTATGATAATCCGAAGCGTAAAAAATCATGGGTTGACCCTGGTCAATCTTCGATATCGACGCCAAAGACCAATATCCACGCCAAGAAGGTTTTGCTTTGCATATGGTGGGATTGGAAAGGTGTATTGTATTACGAGTTGTTACAGCCGAGTGAAACAGTAACGGCAGATCGCTATCAGCAACAATTGAGCAATTTGAGCGATGCGTTTGAAGAAAAGAGGCCATTTACTGGCAAAGGACGTCGTAAAGTGATACTGCTTCATGACAATGCCCGACCACATGTTGCGAAAATGACTCAAGACCATATCTTTGCGTTAGGCTGGGAACTTTTCCCGCACGCAGCGTAGAGCCCAGACATGGGGCCTTCCGATTACTACCTACTCCGGTCTCTGCAGCATTTCTTGGCTGATACACATTTTGTGACACTTGAAGAGATACGAAAATGCATTGATGACTTTATCGCCTCGAAGCCGGTGAGCTTCTACCATCAGGAAATTCGCAAGCTGCCCGAAAGATGGCAAAAGGTCATCGATGCAAACGGGGAATATTTCGTTGATTAATATAGTTTTGTTTGTTTTTAAATAAATTTTGAATTCTGCAAAAAAAATGCTCAGAACTTTTTTGCGCTCCTAATACATCCGTGAAATTTTCTATCTGCGCGAAAAAAAATTCATAAAATATATTTGTGTCGTCGCTCTAAATGAGGAAACTCTCAGAACAATGTCATAGTTGTTCAGTGCACTACTCAATAAAAATATAATAATACTATGTTTGTATGTGTGAAGAATATTTGTTAACTTACAGGATATTGTAATAAAAGCAAGGAGGTTTTATTTCATACTTCTAAGGTCAAGACTTATTAACGGCTAAAAACATATTCGAATTGATCTTGCCTTAATTGATCGGATCAGTGATCGGTCTTGCCTTAACTTCCAAGCCTCATAACTCGGAAAGTACTCAATGAAATGTAACTTTGTTAGAGTGTTTTGGAAAGCTCTCGAGATAAGCTACAAGAATATGTAATAAAAAATTCTAGTTTCTATTTAAAAAAACATTAATGACCTTGGCCTGATTTTGACAAGGTCACTCAAGGTCAAGTCCACATTTTCGTCATGTGTCGTCCTTCAAGTCCTTCATGCAACTTTCGTTCGAAAAATTTTTTAATAAAATAACAAATTTTTACAAGTAAAATTTATCATTATTTATTAGAACACTGAAAGGCTTGGAAGTGCCGTTTTATACAGATGAAGAGTTCCAAATGCACTTTCGGTGAGTAAATGAAAAATAAAATTTTATAATTTTAGATTGATTAGATATATAAAAATATAGATGCGATGAAAATATATGTTTATATAAATTTCTAACAACAATAACAAAACTTTCCATCTACAATTGTAATAGATTTTGTAACATTTATTTATTTATTATTAACTTTAAATATTCAAAAGAAAAAATACGAAATAATCATATATATATATATATATATATATTGTTTTATTTTAGGTTGAAACAAAATACTTTTCGATTTATATTAGAATTATTAAGACCAATGCTCTGTAGACAAAGCAAAAGATCTGGTAGACAACCAATATCTTTTGAAAAACAATTACTTCTTGCTATTTGGATGATGGCTACACCAAATTCCTATAGGTAAATACATTCGTATAAGTAATGTAATTATAATCAAATGTGTGTTATGTATATTTAACAAATACACTATGCTCAGATGTGTTTCAGATCGATTTAACGTAAGGAAAGCTACTGCATGGCGAAGTGTACATAGAGTGATAAATGCCTTATACAAAAAAGTCGGAACATTTATTCATTGGCCAAGTACGGAAGAAGCAAAAAATTGTATGGAAAAATAGAACATTTATATGCTTTCCCAAATGTTATTGGTGCGATAAATGGGACTCATATAAAAATTATTGCACCACATGACAACAATGATTCTTATGTAAACAGGAAAGGATTTCACTCTATCCAATTGCAAGTAAGAAATAATTATTTATAATATTTCAATATTAATATAAATTGACTTTTATAAATATAAATTCATATATGTTTATTTAAATCCAGTTATGCTATTGTAATAATATAATTTTTATTATTCTTATATGTAATTATATTCTAGGTCATATGTGATGCACAACTTCGATTTATCCATTGTTATGTAGAACAAGTTGGGTCTGTACATGACATGCGCGTATTTAGGTTATCCAATGTGGAAAGCACTGACGAAAATTTTCCGCATAACAGTCATATATTAGGTGATGCAGCATACAAACTCACAAAATATGTTATGGTGCCATTTAAAGACAATGGTCACTTAACTGAAGGTCAAATACATTTCAAGCAACGTCTCTCTGTTGCCAGAATGATTGTAGCACGATCATTAGGCTTATTAAAAGGCCGTTTCCGAAGCATTCTGGACACATTGCCAATGCAAAGAGCACACCTAATTGCAAAATATATTATTTCCTGTTGCATTCTACATAATATATGCTTGTTGAAAAATGACTTAATAGACATTCCTGTAATTATTAATGAACCCAATATAGCACAACCGCAATTAGATAACGATGTACAAAGAGAAGGAACAGAGAAAAGGAATGCTATTATGTATTTATTATCAAATAATTAATATAAGTATTAGAAGAAGAAGAAGAAGTAGAAGAAAACATATTTTTCATCGACATATTAAAATTTCTTTTTTATTTCTTATGTACGTTAACATTTTATAATAAACATAATTGAGAATTTATAAAATTAATATTATACACCACGTGTTTTATTTTCTTACTTGCTATATGATCCTAACATACATAAATTGTTTTTAACATAAGATCTGTTGTACATTGTATTTGCTGTATTAAGTTTTCCAAACGTGTGAAAACATCCATTTTTTCTTTATGTTGCTGATCTCTAATCTCAGTTCTTTTTTTTCTTTCTTCCTTGTTATCTGATATACATTTTTCTATTATAGTATTTAACTTTCTCCTATTGTTACCTAAAATCATAAGTATAAAATATGCGTTTATACAGTATCATTCACTTTATACGTACACATGTATAATAAAATATATATTAATCTTACATTTTTTTGGTATGTTCTCTTTTTCATCTTAGGTTTGTTTTTTTTCGCTGCACGAAAACTGCACTAGAACTGAACTGAACTAGAACTGAACAGAGCAGGCGAGTACGAGTTGGTTCATATTAGTGCAGAAGTACAACATACGGGTAAAAAAACACTAAAGTGTGTAATAATGGCGCATTACGTAGCGATGTTTGATTTGTCAGATGAAGAGGATTTTTCATAATACCGCTGTTAAAACCAAATGTGGTTGAAGATGATGATGGTAATACACAATTAAAAAAATATAGTAACAATTTATAATTATTACTAATATGTATTATCTTTACTCTAACCTAATTGTAATCTTCATATATTGGCTGTTTGTAGATGAAAACGCATTATGTATATTACATCCAATCCTGGGAGTGATCGAAAGAATACAACATGTGAAAGTAAATAATTATATCGAACGTATTGTAATTAATTACAATAACATTGATTTTATTATGCATTTCCGCCTATCACGGCGGGTAACATATGATCTCATAGATCAATTCAGAGTATCTGAGATATTTATCTCTATGGAAAGTAAATATTATAAAAAAATATTTTGATTGTTCTTCATTTTTATTAGTACAAAAAAAGATTATTTAAACTATAAAATATGTAGAAGAGTGAGGAAAAAATGCGTTTTATAGAAATAGTTACAATGTTACAATATCCATAATTTGCTATGTATTACGTTGTAGATCTTATGGGGCATCCAAAAATAACAGCTGAAAAACATATATTAACCTATTTATGGTTTATAGGCCATGAGAGTGCTTCATATAGAGATGTGGCAGATAGATTCGGCATAACAATTAGTGCTTTACACAAGGTTATTAGTAGAGTAACTAATTTTATAATGCTTCTTGCGTCTAATATTATAAAATATCCCACATTAGATGAGAAAATAAGAACTGCAACTTTTTATGAAGCAGCAAAAGGATTCCCTAATGTAATAGGTAATATACACTTTCATTTCTATATTCTTAAATTTTTTAATATAAACATGTGTATGTACGTATTACATTATATATGATATTTTTTCACCAGGTGCCATTGATGGCTCTCATGTTCGAATTGATCGACCATCAGAAGATCCTGATTCATATATCAATAGAAAACAATATTTTTCAATACACGTTCAGGGAACTGTAAATCATGCAATGAAATTTATGGATGTTTTTATTGGATTTCCAGGTTCAGTACATGACGCGAGAGTGTTTAAAAATTCACCGATTTACGATGATCTTCATGAACTTTGCGGAGGTAAGAAATGTATGTATATATATATATATATATATGTGTATATAAAAATAAAACATTAAGAAATACAATTATAAGAATTAACATTTCATTATAAATCTTTTTACAGACACTTATATCTTACTGGGTGACAGTGCATACCCTTGTTTAAAACAATTGATAACACCATATAAAGACAATGGGCACCTAACACAGGCACAAAGAAATTTTAATCGGAGATTAAGTTCCTGTAGAATAATAATTGAAAATACATTCGGATGTCTAAAACAGCGCTTTAGGCAGTTGTATCATTTAAAATTAAGAAATATGGTACGAATGGTGCAAGTCGTACATGCCTGTTGTGTGTTGCATAATATAGCAGATATGCATAAATTAGAAATGTTTGAAGCACCTTTAAATAATGAATATCCAGACATCGCAGCTCAAAACCAACAAATTGAAATAGACAATAATATACCCAGAGATGCAGAAAATGGAATGGCTATCCGTGATGAGTTATGTCGTTTACTGTCTACATAATAAAATATCTGCAGAAATAAGTGATAATAAATATAATGTTACACAAATATATCAAATTTACTTTATTATACCTTATTACAAAAGTAACTTCTATATTATCATTCATATATTATTTTTTTTCTTCACAACAAAAACTTTTTACCTAATACTGATAAGTATCACAGTTTCTGAAACTATTGGGTGAGTGCAAAAGTTCGTGCGGAGTTTGTGAGTAAAAGTCACACAGTGATTAGGCAAACAAAAATCTTTATTCAATCAATGATATATTCTCCATCGTTTTCTATAATCTTTCCCAACGTTCTGGCAGCATACGGATGCCTCGGTCATAAAAACTGCGCGGTTTAGATTCGAAGAATGAAGAGACGCCGTTTTTTAAGGCCTCCAAAGAGTCAAAGTTTTTTCCATTTAAATAATTTTGCAATGACCGAAACAAGTGATAGTCAGATGGTGCGATATCAGGAGAATACGGTGGATGCGTTAAGACATCCCATTTCAGGCTCTTCAGTTTGCGCAGCGTCTTTTTCGAAACGTGTGGTCTGGCGTTGTCGTGATGAGAGACGACTCCCTTGCGATTTGACAAAATCGGACGTTTCTCTTTTATTTCTCGATTCAGATTGGTTAATTGGCGACAGTACTTGTCCGAATCAATCGTTTCGCCAGCGGGGAGAAGCTCGAAATAGATTATGCCCTTGCAATCCCACCAAACAGAGAGCATCACCTTCATCGGGTGCAAACTGGCCTTTGGCATTGCGTCACCATGCTCACCTGATTGTTTCCATGTCCGTTTGCGCTGAACATTGTTGTAGAGGACCCATTTCTCATCGTCCGTCACTAGTCGATCCAAAAACGACTCGTTATTGAGCCGCCCGAGTAAAGAAACGGCTGCAGAAATTCGCTTGATTTTGTTCTTCTCGGTCAGCAAATGGGGCACCCATATATCGAGCTTCAAATCGAATCCTATCTTTTTTAAACGCCGAAAAGCGGTTGATCGGTCAACGTTTAGTGCTGTAGCAACTTCTTCTGTTGAAATTCGCGGATTATTGAGCACTAAAGTACGCAAAACATCGTCATCAATGTCAGAAGGTCGACCAGAGCGTGGCTCGTCTTCAAGGTTAAATTCTCCTCGCCGAAATTTAGCAAACCATTTTTCCACAGTTCGTTTAGCTGGTGCTTCATCCTGATAAACATCCTGAATGTTTTTTACGGCTGCGGCAACGTTTATTCCTTTCCGAAGCTCGTAAAGCATAAAATGCCGTAAATGCACCTTATCGATACTCATTTTTAAAGTGATATTTCTCGAAGCAGTTTGTACGAAAACAAATGATTTTTTTTTTAATAACAGCTGAAGACGTCACCTTTCCAACGTTATATAATATGTAGATGGAAGTATTAATGACAACACTTTACGACGCTTATAACTCCATCTATTGAAACTCCGCACGAACTTTTGCACTCACCCAATAAAACATTCTCTTAAACTAAAAAAAGATATATTTTTTAACAATAAACTTTTTCTATATAAACTGATATTAAATTTTAAGTAATTCACTAATACTCAAATCTCTCTTACATTAAAACTGTAACGGTAACGCCCGCGGGGTTCGGTGCGATCGGTCGCTCCACCGTCGCGCCTGGCTCGCCGCTTCCGCGACGCCTCGCTCGCCGCCGCGTCGGTGCGTTACTCGGGTGAAGGGCTAATTCAAGGTAGCTTCTCGGAAGAAATGTGTGTTCAGCGTTTCTGTATTAACAAGTTGGGTGCGTCCCGCAAGGCGCCCCCGTTTATTTAAAAGACGTTCGATGCTATATAATATATATATATATATATATAAGTATGTGGGCGGCTCGCTGGCCCGGTGTGGCATCGGCGATGTCCGTTCCTTAGTGCCCGTGCTTCCTGCGTAGCCGCAAGGATGGTCCCCTATCCGCGGGATCAGAGGGGATGTTCCGCGGCCTCTTGGCGGTCCGACGTCCTCGGCCACGAGTCCTGTTGAGGGCGACTTACGCCAGCTGTTCTTTGGATAAGCGGGAGGTGGTTTATTTCGGGCAGCGTACCACGGTCACAAAGTCGGACAAGCACTGATAATTCCGTGAACCGATGCTTCGGGAATATTCTACGTCGGTGGCCAACGGCCGCCGATGCAGACGGACGAACACTTGTAAATCGGCGAACAGATACTTAGAAATATCCTGTGCCGGTGGCTAACTGCTGCCGACACAGACGGACGAGCACGTATGAATCCGCGAACAGATACTTAGAAATATTCTGTGTCGGTGGCTAACTGCTGCCGACACAGACAGACGAGCACTTATATTCACGAACAGAACTTCGAAATTATTCTATGTCGGTGGCTAACTGCTGCCGACACGGACGAACGAGCACTGGTATCCGCGCACAGGAACTTAGAAAATATTCGATGTCGGTGGCCACGGTCGCCGACACAGACGGACGAGCACGTATAAATCCGCAAACAGATACCTAGAAATATTCTGTGCTGGTGGCTAACTGCTGCCGACACAGACGGACGAGCACGTATAAATCCGCGAACGGATACTTAGAAATATTCTGTGTCGGTAGCTAACTGCTGCCGACACAGACGGACGGGCACGGTAAATTCGCGAACAGATACTTAGAAATATTCTGTGCCGGTGGCTAACTGCTGCCGACACAGACGGACGTACACTTAGAAATCGCGGAACGGCGGCTAACTGCGGCCGTTCGTTCGGAAACAGATACTTAGAAATATTCTGTGTCGGTGGCTAACTGCTGCCGACACAGACGGACGAATACGGTAAATTCGCGAACAGAGACTTAGAATTATTCCGTGTCGGTGGCTAACTGCTGCCGACACAGACGGACGAATACGGTAATCTCGCGAACGGAGACTTAGAGATATTCTATGTCGGTGGCTAACTGCTGCCGACACAGACGGACAAGTACGGTAAAGTTGCGATGCCTGATCGGCCGACGAGGCTCGGCTGCCGGGTCTTGTAAAAGTTCCCGGTGGTTCGGTACGGTGTGGAAGCTTTACTCACCGGCGGATGCCTTGCCTTCTCGTTGACTTCTCTTCACGATTCTCGCTGGAGCTCTCCTTGGTAGCTGATCTGGTGGATTCACTGTCTCTCACGGTCTGCCTCGATCTCTCGTCGAGAGCGGGTTTTATACCCTAAATTCCTCTCGACGATCGGTGGCCGATAATCGGGGGATTAGTTCCCCCCGATTTCCCGGAAAGTCGCGCATGCGATTTCCGCGAATTACCCCTTTCTGGGGGGACCGATCTTCCCCGACCGCTTCGCAGAATTCGGCTTTTTCCGGCGGTCTGGCGGGTTGCCGCGGCATAGGTGTTGCCGGGCGCTTAGCGATGATTTCTCGCGATCGTGTGACGATCGGTGGTCGCCGTCACACGATGGTAACGGGGGTAAAACTCCTCGTTACAAAACTTATAATTATTCTTTTTCTTTGGAAAAATCTAAGAAGATTTCTTTTAACAGTCGATTCTTTTCTTCTCTTAATTTATTTGCTGTTATTAATTGTGTGACACATTCTTCATATGCGTTTCTCATTTTACTGTACTCAGCTAACATTTGCTGGTACAATTCATCTTTAGAAGCTTTTTCTTTCTGAATATTAGAAGTAAGTATTTCCATACTTTTCTGACAACTGTCCAAAAATCTTGCTGTAGGGCCCATTTCCTTTCTTCCAGATTTCTTTACCGATATCTGTATAACATATAAGTTTAAATTATGTTACAAGGATATTAAATTAATAGGATAAATAAGGCAAGGAGCACGCAGGGGCTCGATTAACAACATATCGCATATGACACGCATACGAATATACGTATATAATATACGGAGTATAGTATTCTTATTGGTTAATTTTCGCACGTACATCGTATCTCAAAAGTCCGGTTGCAGACTTCTGCATAAAAGAAATACACGAATCAGGGACCTTTATTTCCGTTCGGGGATAGAAATAAAGGATTTTGTTTATAGAATAAATTTCTTTATTACGCGTAATGCGTTATGCAGAAATCTATGCTCTCCGCTTAAAAAACTTTCTGCAATAAGCCGTTAGTTATAACAATCCATAATACATAAGAAAATGAAGTAATCACAGAGTCTTTTATTTCCTTCTTAGGAATCTAATGACGTATTTTGATTGGTTCATTTTCTTATGAATTATGCATTATTATAACTAATAGTTTATTGTTGAAAGCTTTTAAAATTAGTAGGACTTCCAAATTGTCAAAATTGTTATTGTATACTTAATTGGTTTGAATTATTGTTTGTAGTAGCGATTGCATTATTCCGTGTAGTTACTTCTGTGTAGGACTGTATCGTATTTGGCGTTACTGTTAATTGCACTGGATCATTGGAATTATCAGAATTATCATCCACAGATCTGTTGTAAATAAATGATAAATAAGTAAAATAAAAATTTCACTAGATGGACATGTATTTCCACTTACTTCATTGTGGTAAATATTAATTTGTATACACTCAATTGCAAAATGGTTTAAACACTTACAAAGATATGTTTGTTGTCGTGTTCTTTTTTAAAATTAATCCTTGTCTACCAGATAGGACCAATGGTTCAATATTATGTTTTGATCCTAACAAATCTGTCAATTCCCTGCAACAATTTAATACAATGTTATTTCATATGTATACGTTTTTACACATTTGAGATTTAACTTACACATCATATAAATACTTACGCTTCATACGGACACGAAATACATCCTCTTCCTGTTTTTTTGTTATTCGAAATCATGTTCTTGTATGCTCGTTCAAGAGACTTATATTTATTTTCTACTTGTATTGCACTTACATTATATCCTTCATCATTCATTTGTGATGCTATTCTGTTCCATAATATCTTTTTGGTAGCTATTTTTCTATTTTTAAACAGATCATCCATCAACATTAACCTGTACTTGATTACAATTGAAATTAATTTCGTCATAATTTATTTCAAATTGTGTACCACCTGTAAATTTATTATATATCACAAACCTATTCATTTAATTGGGTTTCAATATATGTATATAAAGATAATATATATAGTTTCTTGTATATAATTTTCTTACCTATAGATATACATGTAACATTCCTATTTTCATTTATTATAATATTTCCTTGTTCATCCCTTTTTATGTATGCCGTTTCTTCGTTCTCCATATTTTTTCCATATAAATAAATATATCTATAGATATATATATATTTGTCTTTATACAAAGTTAAGAATAATTTGGTGCTCTCATCGGTCCAAGTTAATGCTTGTACTGTATTTTGTTCCTTTAGGGCTACAGCGTCATTTTCTTTATTTCCGTCATGTAATTGTATGGATATAATTTTTCCATCAACCTTAACCTGCACTTGATTACAATTGATCAATTTTATCATTATAGTAATTATTTGTTTTAATATGATATAGCTCCCATAACTTGAATTATGATACATACATTAGCATTGTTAATTGTTAATAAAATTGTTAAATAAAGCCCGACAATTAAAATCTCTTGGAGGTTACACAGAAAATAGTTTCGACACACATTATAATTCAAGTCACATTTGAGTTGTATCTGTTAAAACAAATAATTGCCATAAATATTAAATGTAATATATTTTTTATGAGACAAACTTTTCTATATGTTCGCAATTTTTCCTTAGGTTACGTTACAGGTTAGGCTTTACTGCACTGAACTGGCCGCACTAGCTCAAGACCCAGTGCAATCGTGCAGTGAACTTGTTGCACTGAATGCTTTTGCACTTCGAAAAAGAACACGGCGACTGACGTCATTTCCGACAAAAAAGAACGCGTTAGTGTACACTCCTCGCACTAATGCACACTAGTGCAGAAAGTTCGTCGAAAAAGAACAAACCTATTGTAACGATAAATTCACTCAAGTAACGTTCGAGCAGCTCGAAAGCGTAAGCTGCTTATAGTTTCTCCGAACGCATCTATCAGCGTTAGCGTTTGTTGCGTGATAGCATGCTCCCCGAACGCACCCTACGACTTGTCGTAAAGCCCTAAATACAATAGGTTTGTTCGCGTCGCACACTCCAACATGCTTCTATTTGCCCCAATGTGATCCAATCCGTTTGCGTCACCGGAAACTATATGGCGACCAAGCGTTCGCGTCGCATTGGAGCATTCCTCAAGGAGCAAGTAGGAGTGTGATCCATTTACCCCAGTTTCGGAGGTGGTGCAGTTTGGGCAGAAACAGTTTTGTCATGAGCGCATGCGCAATCATTAGTTTACTTTTGCGAAGAAGAATACAGAAAAGTACGACTAAATTAAGAAAACGTGTATTAAATATTCAGGTATTTAAAATGACTTGCATAAGATTTTAGTTGACTGCTGAAATATGCATTTTTATAATTAATTAACCAACAGTAAATTCAAAATAGGTTAAGTGATTTTATTTTCGAACAATTTGTGTGACTTATGTTTATATTTTATTTGAATTAATACGTGAGCAAAAATGTAATATTTTACATACGACATATTATTCAGTAATTTGTGATTAATATATTCCAACATTATTTATTTTAAAGTTATTTTAATCAGTTAAGAAGTGTTTACTTACACAACTATTGTATTTAATATTAATGATTTTTTTGTTATAGTCTTCAGCAAGACAAACAATCCATAATGGCTGAATCTAATCAGAAAATTATGATAGCACACCCGAATGCTAATTCTTTAATAACAGGATCTATGATTTCAAAGAACTCAGCTATAAAAGTCATGCCAAAAATATTGTCATTTAAATTAGTTAAGCCTCAAACACCAAATACTTCTGCCGTAACTCACACAACGGACTTAACATAATACTTAACCACAGTGCCTTTGATGAATAAGATGAGTCCTTCCAGTATTCAGTTGCATGAAAGTCCTTCCATTACAGCAACAAGCTCTATGCAGCATACAGATACAATTATGAGTTCATTGGATTTTTCGATTATAAACTCAGATTCTTCCACAGTTATAGAAAAGGAACTTATGACAGATAATGAAAAAGAGAATGATTTCTGTTTTCAACAGTGTTTTCAACAGTGTTTTCAACAGTGATGGCCATTTTATTTAGAGTCATAAAAGTATAATGTTATTTTTTTCAGAATATGAAGAACATGAGAAAAAATTTCAAAAACGGAAATATCAAAGTAAGGAGGCTATGTTTCAAGTGTTAGCAGAGTCGTTCCAAAAGAAAGGTTATATAAATGCTACCAAAAATCATATGAAAAATAAATTTAAATTATTGAAGAAGAAATGGGATATACATATTAAACGGACCACTGGAAAAAACAGCTCTGGAAAAGGCACAAAACCTCTTCCATATGAAGAGTAAGTTTTATGTTCATTCTGTTTCTTGTATGTGTCATAATTTTAAATGGAATACTTTCAATTGATACTCAGAAAACATGAAAGTTTTGAAGATATCTAAAAGATATGTTTTAAATATTTTCTAAGAAAAGATATTTTTTAAAAATATCTAAAAGATATCTTTTAGAAATATCTTGAAGATATCTATTGGGTTGGCAACTAAGTGATTGCGGATTTTGTCGACAGATGGATTTTACATTTTCTTTTGTTTCGTTAACGTGTTCAAAGTACCTAACCTATATTTTTTCTTATTGTTAGGACTTCTACCTTTCATTTAGTACAAAAATTATATCGATTAGTTCTTTAGTTTTGTTTTTATCCCAATTTAAAAATGGAAGAGCAAGACGTGCACTTCAGACATATTTTATTGTATTATTTCCGAAAAGGCAAGAACGCATCGCAAGCACACAAGAAGTTATGTGCCGTATATGGGAATGAAGCCTTGAAAGAAAGGCAGTGTCAAAATTGGTTTGCCAGATTTCGTTCTGGTGATTTTTCATTGAAAAATGCTCAACGATCTGGCCGTCCAGTTGAAGTCGATGAGACCCATATCAAGGCCATTATCGATTCAGATCGTCATAGTACAACACGTGATATTGCAGAGAAGCTCAATGTATCGCATATATGCATTGAAAAAAATTTAAAAAAGCAAATTTAAAATTTTGAATTTTCATTCTTATTTAAAATCCGCAATCACTTAGTTGCCAACCCAATATAATGACATATCTTTAAGATCTCGATGTTTTCTAGATCTTAATATGTCCTTAAATATCTTTCAAATAACTTAAGTATATTTTCTGATATCTAAAATAAAATTTGTAAACGTTTTAAAATATCACGTCTTAAAGTGTAAGATGTTTTTTTATATTTCATCGAAATATGTAAAAGATATCTTAACTTGTTGCATAAGGTATCTTTTAAATCTCTAAAAAATATCTTTTTCAGAAATACAAGACATCTGGAAACATAGCAAAATATCTTTTAAAAGTCTAAAAGATATCTTTATGTCTATTTGGGCAGTTTAATCATCTTTCTTTTTTGATATTTTTGCTTTCTTTTTGTTATTTTCGAAATATTTAAAGTATATATATTTAATCACTAATGGATTGTATACTTTTCCTTATAGAGAAATGATAAAAATATTTGGAAAAAGTCATAGTGGAGTGCCACTTATTGTGGCTAGCCGTAATGGAATTATTTCTCAAAAAGAAATTTTGCAAAACGTCTGTCAAAATTTGTCTGAGTGAGTAATGATCTCTCTAAAATACATTTTTAAATTCTTGTCTTCATTTAGATAAGTAATTAAAAGTGTTTTCTATTATAGAAATGAGAATGAAGAGAAATAAGAGCAGATTTCTTCTGTACTACATTCACCGAATCTCGTAACTGTAGGTACCAATTTAAATCTCTTGTCATCGAGAAACAATTCGTCACCAACAAGGAGCAATGTTTCAGTTCCGACATTATCGACTAATAGCAGCAGATCATCAATGACGGGTAGCAGCTGCTCCTCTTTAACAAATACAAGAGTAAAAGTACGAGATGGCAAATTGGCGCTTACTTTGCAATCAGTCAAAGAATCCATTTGTGCCGTGTTACAAAAAATAAGTGATGATAAACAAGAAATACGCACAAAATTTCTGACAGAGCTTCAAAAATTTAACGAATTGCAAAAAGAACGAAATATCATTCTGCAAAAACAACTTATGGTACTTGAAAATTTGGCCAAAAAGATAAATCCAACAGAGAAAGAATTATTATTACATGACTGAAAACATTGAAATAATTGCTAGATATAAACATATATTTTATTTGACCATATTTAAAACAATGTTGGTTATGTTTTTAGTTTTTGATTAAGTATAAATATTTAATTTCTCAAATTTTTATTTATTCGTTTTCTGTTAATTTTAATGGATAGCACGATAAGACTTCGTATTAAACTTCTCGAGAAGTCAAAGTTAAGTTTACTCGATTGAGTTTTTTTTACATAATAAAGCAATATTATTTAAAATCAGTTGCTGATAAAGGATAAAAACTATTATTTCTTTTAATCATCAGTCATTTTTAGTCAGTTTAGTCAGTTTATTGAAATATTACATACGTGCATTATACATTAATTGTATTTATTTTTTGTGAAAAAATTATTAGAGATATAAAATATATGATATTAAAACAAACTGATGTGTGGATAACTGATATGTATTGTTGAAAAGAATTTTTGTTCAAAAACATTCTATAATCACAAATAAAACTTTAATATAATATTTAAGAGATTTTATTATCTTTCTTAACTTCTCCTAATATGAATAATTTAATATAACGATTGTTAAGATAACGATCATTATGTTAAATTGTTTTTGTGTAAAAAAATTAAATTAAAATACGTATACAAACATATAAAATAAATATAAAATATAGATATGTATTTTAACTTTGCTATATATACATATAGAATACTTAAAAAAAGTAGAACTTATTACAAGAAGTAATCATCTTCTTCTCATGGCCACTTTTTAAGGTATATCCAGACAAATATGTATGAGCATATGATATATATAAACATAAAAATAAAATAATCAATTGCTTTTTTTTACAATAAGCGCGCACAAAATTCCAGAACGTTAAAAGTGTAATAAAACATAAAAAAGGCAAAATAATATCTTGCAAAAACAATATAGCGATATTAGAGAAAATGGTAAAAAGAATATACCTAAGAAAAAGAATTATCATATGAAGACTGAAAACATAGATATTGATGTAAGATGTAAACATATTATTTATTTAACGCTGAACTTTTATATATTTATATATATATATATATATCATATAGTCATTAAAATTTGTCTTAATATATCTCTACTCTACGTTGAATCGTCTTTGGAACAATTGTCGGCATAGTTCATCTCTGAGATCACAACCACGTCGTTCATTAACAGGATTTTCATCCCTATCTTCTGGCAGGACATGGGGTAACAACACCTGTGCATTTACATCAGCATGATTGTCGTCCTCGGATTCTTCCATGTATTGCATACCATTAAAGTCAGCCATATTATGAAGGACGCAACAAGCGAAAATGAATTTAACGATGAACTGCATGTTCCTCAGCTTAAGGAAATATAATTGCCTGAAACGCTGTTTCAATACTCCAAATGTATGTTCTACAGAAATTCTGCACTGACTATGTATACGATTAAAGTTTCTTTGGGCCTGTGTCAGATGTCCATTATCCCGATATGGAGTAATTAATTGAGGAAGACATGGATATGCAGCGTCTCCAAGAATTATGTTTCCGTCTAAAAAAATTACATTTGCTTAAGATAAACATCAAAAGTTAAATAAACATACACGATAAAGTATATGTATATTAATTAAATTAAACAAGAATAGAGATATTCGACTAAAACAATAATACAATAATTGTTTATGATTATTATGTATTCATACTGTGACAGAGTGCTGGTAAGTCTTCAGCCAGACTAGAATTTGCAAATACTCTTGCATCATGCACTGAGCCAGGATATCAAATTAACACATCTAAGAACTTGTTCTGCTCATTAACTGTTCCCTGCATGTGAATGGAAAAATAATGTTTTCTATTGATATAGGCTACTGGGTCTTCAGAAGGTTTGTCTATACGGATGTGTGAACCATCAATAGAACCTGTAACAGGAAAGAAATATTAATTAAGTTATATCATTACACACTAAATTACAAAAATGTAAGTTTAAATTAAGTACATCATCAGAAAAAATTACATTATTACCAATTATTCCTGGAAAATTTTTATTTTCTACATAGTATCTCTGCGTTCTCTGCTTTTCTGCCTCAGTGGGATACCGAATAAATTAATTTCTTAAATCATATAAAAACTGTGTGACTCTTTGTAACACTGATTCAAGGGCACTAAGAGATAAATTAAATCTATCAGCAACATCCCTGAAACTTGCACTTTGATGCCCAGCAAACTATAGAAAAGTAAGAATGTGTTTTTCAGCCGAAACTACTTCAAATCCTCCATGTCCTATATAAAATATTAATTATACTTTATTTAAAATAAAATGAAAAACTTATGATATTAAATCTTTAATTTAAAAAACAGTACCTACCTCCTAGTTTTCTAAAATGTGCCCAATAACTAAATCTGTCCACCATGCTTCTGAAAAGCATTCTTTTTAAACGATAATGCATAATAAATTCTTCATTGGTATACATTGGCACTATTTGTTCAATATAATTAGTTATGCATGTTCTACGTCTTCTTTGAATGATACCTTCAGCCATTTCAATAACTGCATTAATAGCAATATCTACAAATTACATAAAATCAAATAAAAATGCACTAACTATTTAAGGAAATGACGGTAATTATACAGAATACCCCTCTCACCTCCAATTTTGACGAAAAAATATTTAATCGACGCGTTTTTGCAAGAGAAACAACTTTTCTATTTGAAAAAGTCGTCGCTCTGTCTTGTGGAGCGAGATATAAATTGTTAAAGTTGATGACAATTTAGGTTAGGAAATCTGTCACGGAGGCGACAGATAAGATTCCGACAGATTTTTTCAAATAGAAAAGTTGTTTCTCTTGAAAAAATGCGTCGATTAAATATTTTTTCATCAAAATCGGAGGTGAGGGGGATATTCTGTATAATTACCGAAAAGACAAATTAAAACTAATAATGTTCAGAGGTTATAGCAAATAAGGTTAGGATGTCACATCTTCATCAATACTCACTCTCTATTTCATCGTCGTTCCCATTGTCTTCCACAAATAAATCACGAATTACAGCTAAAGATAAAAGATTTTCATTAATTTCATTCATAATTAATATATTAAAGCCAATGAGAAAATCTTCCAATGGATCCATGCTGCGAGTTAATTTACATGTTTGCATACATCTTAAAAGAAGAGAAACTGCTCCAATCCGTTCGTATCACTGAGCATTGGTGCACATGAACTCATCTGCTGCAACCACCATCTTATCCGTGATCTAAATGCTCCCTGGTGTACATTGGAGCATGCGACGCGACAAACCTAAGGTTTGTTCTTTTTCCACACTCCAGGACTGCACTAGAACTGAACTAGAGTAGGGAAGTTCACGCGAGTTCAGTCCAAGTGCAAGAGTTCATACTAGTGTGTAAAGAACGCTTATAGTGTAGCAATTTACATAGCGGATCAATGTGCTAGTATTTTGGAGTTAATTGATTCTTCAGATGAAGAGAATGTAATCATGGTACCACCACCAGAAATACCCGTAATTGAAGATGACGATGGTGATATATAATTTAATATGATAAACAAATTGTGGTTGTAGGAAAGATGGAAAACTTAGAAGAATTTATTTAACAATTTTTTAGGTTATGACGAGTTACATCTATTGCACCCAATTTTTGGAATGATTCAAAGAATAGAACATGTAAAAATAATCAATCACATTGAAAACATTGTTTGGAGTTATGACAATATTGATTTTATTATGCATTTTCGTTTATCGAGAGAAATAGCACATGAACTCAGCTAAATTCAGCATGTGTGAAATATTTACTTCCTTACAAGGTATGTTAATTAATATTATTTTTAGAAGATAAATTATTTTTTGAAGGGTACTTTTCAGTTAGTGACACAAGTCGACATAAAAGTCATTCTGTCTTTATTTAATACTCAATGAGAAACAAGGACATAATGGCTATGTTCAGCAGAAACTTTACAGCTTTAAAACTATTGTAAGATTCTTTTATATGATTGAATACAGTTACAACCAAGAGTAAGAATCAATCATATTAAAGAATCTTACAACAATTGCAAAGCAGCTTTTTTGGCTGAACGTAGCCAATGACTCTTGTGTCGACCTGTGTCGCTAATTGAAAAACACAAAAAATAAACACAATTTTTGAAATAATAGCTTCTTTTATAGAAATAGAAATATATAGAATAAATAAGAACTGCAGAAAAGAAAAATGAATAGTTAATAGCTTAATATAGATTCTATTTTTTTTTAATACTGTTATGATATTAATATCAACTATTTAATATATGTTATTCTTTCAGATGATTCAGGACGTTCAAAAATAACAGCTGAAAAGCATATTTTAAGTTATTTATGGTTTATAGGCCATGAAAGTGCATCATATCGTGACATAGCTGATAGATTTGGAGTAACTTTAAGCGCTTTGCACAAAATTATCACGAGGGTCACTGATTTTATAATATCTATGGCACCTGATATTATTAGATATCCCACTATAATTGAAAAAGAAGAAACAGCAGCCTTTTACTATGAAAAAAAAGGCTTTCCTGGAGTTATTGGTAAATATTATATTTTATAATTATTATATTATATTTGCAATGTTATATATTTATATACCAATTACTCCATATATGACATGAATATATATATATTTCAATGTTACATTTTCTTATCATGTAAATATTAAAAATATTTTATTCATACATTGATATTTGTTTTAGGCGCTATTGATGGTTCCCACATTAGAATAGATAAGCCAACAGAAGATCCTGAATCATATATTAATCGGAAGCAATGTTTTTCTTTACATATTCAGGGAACAGTTAACCATCATATGAAATTTATGGATGTATTTATTGGATATCCTGGTTCGGTGCACGATGCAAGAGTATTTAAAAATTCACCAATACGCAATGATTTGCATGAACTCTGTGGAAGTTAGTTGAAAAATTATAAAATATAAAAGTATAAACTAATAACAATTGATGTTTAAATAAACTTACTTTTCAGATAATTATCACCTGTTAGGAGATAGTGCGTATCCTTGTCTAAAACAGTTGATTGTGCTTTATAGGGACAATGGACATTTAACACGTGCGCAAAGGACATTTAACCAAAAATTAAGTTCTTGTAGAGTCATAATTGAAAATGCATTTGGATGTCTCAAGCAACGATTTCGGCAATTGTACCATTTTAAACTGCGAGATATACCACGAATGACATGTGATACACGCATGTTGCGTGCTTCATAATATAGCAAATGCAAACGATTTAGAAATTTTCGAAGCACCTATAGATGACGAGCAACCTGACATTGAAGCACAAAGACTACATACCGAAATAGATATAGCACCAAGAGAGATTGAAACTGGAGTACACATTCGTGACGAAATATGCCACCAATTATTTGTAAACTAAAGAGTTTATAATTTTATACAAAATAAATTTTTAATAAATTATAGAATATGTACAAAAATGTATTATAATATAGATTTTTTATAAGTAATATAGAAAAAAAACTGGTTGACAATAAAAAAATAATTTAAAAGGAATATTATTTGTATTTAAATGTATGTATAACAAAAATACACGTGACAAAAATATAAGAAAAATATATGTAACAAAAATATAATAAACACTAAATAGATACATTGATAAACAAATATGTGAAATGTATTAATTCCATTTATGTTTTAATTCTAAAATAAGATCCTCTAAAAGTTTATTTTTCTTTTCCCTTATTATATTTGCTGTTTTTAATTGTTCTTTTCCCTTATTATATTTGCTGTGTTTAATTGTCATTTATATTATTAAAACTTTCTGTATATGTATTGCGCATATGTTTATACTCAGCCAACATTTGTTTTTGTATGTCTAATTTAGCCGCTCTATCTTCTTCGATATTATTTGAGATATCTTGAAGTGTTTTCTGACACGTTAGCAACAATCTGCCAGTAGTACCCATATGTTTTCTAGAAATCTTGTTTGATGTTTGTGTAATCTGTTGTGTAATGTTTTGGGTTATATTGGTATCGGTTCTATTGCTTGTATTGATATCAGTTGTATTGATTGGATGGATATTAGTTTCGCTTGTACTGGGCTGGCTGGCAAGATAACTAGTATTGTTTAAAATGGTGTTGTTTGAATTAGATGGCTCATCTACATTAGTGTCATTGTTAGATCTAAATAAATACACATAATGAGTATATAAAAGAATTCTGCACAAACATAATTGATTTCTATTTAATGACAATACAGTAATGGAATATATTTTAAGTATGATACATTAATTGAAATTTATATTGTATACATTCAATTAAAAAAATAAAATGTCTATTATGATATTTACGTGAATGTATTCGCTCGTATTTCTTCTCTTAAAATTAAACCTTGCCTGCCTGTTACCGCTAAGGGTTCAATATTATGCTTATGTCCCAATAGTTCAGTCAATTCTCTGTAATAAGTAAACAATATGTTTTTTACGTGCTTAAGTCTTTTACAAAATGTAAAATTAATTATTATTTACGTTTCATATGTGCATGATACGCGTCCTCTACCAGTTTGTTTATTATTTGTAATCATGTTTTTGTAGGATCTTTCAAGTGATTTAAATTTATTTTCCACTTGAGAAACTGTTGTGTTATATCCATGTGATTGCATAAGTTCAGCAATTTTTTGCCATAATAATTTATGTGTCTTTATTTTTCTAGTTGCCAATAGTTCTTTGTGTTCTTTATATAAAGTTAAAAATAACTTAGTTCTTGCGTCGTTCCATGAAAATATTTCTTTTCTATTATATTCTTGAGATGGTTTTTGAGCTATATTATTATTCAAAGGTATATTTCTTGCATTTTCATGCAATTCTATAAATATTGTTTTGTCTGCAACCGTACATTGTAGTGTATCGTATGTAAAATCAATTTCACTGTAAGGCAGTTGAAATATCAGATCTGCAAATAAGATAAATTTAGTTTTCTTAAAATCAATTATTTATTTACTTAATTATCGATTTACATATCAAAACGTAAATAGTATAAGTATATATTAATTTCATACCTCCACAAGTGCATGTGACACATCCCTCTTTGTTGATAATTATTTTCATAAGACTTCAAGAATTCAAAATGAATTAAAAACACAGTGTTGTGCCCATACCTTTGGGGAACGTATTGTTCCCACGCTCTTGGGAGAAGACTGTGAAGAAGGCATATAGAGAGTGTTTGACAGCTGTTATCGTTGTCAAGGAATTTGTTTACTAACAACTGGAATAATGAGAGAGTCGCTCTAGTCCTGTCACAGCGTACGGACGTAAAGCGAATTCGTGCGATTATTTTGAGATTGATTAAGATCCGTTTTTCTTGGCTGTAAATAAAGCTATTCTCGTTTAGTTTATCCCGAGTTATTTCTTTCACGCGCGGGCACAACATTATATTACCGATGTCATCCTTAGAAATATGTCCAATGTTGTCCTTTTGATTTTCTGCAATCGTGTTATTGTTTCTATGCATATACCCACTAAACAAAAAATTATCAACACATTATTATTACGATGTTCAATAATGTAATGTTTTGAAATATGTAGTTCGTAACGTTATATATAACGTTATTGCAAATTGCTGGGATTCTGCGGGCAATTTGCTTACTGGGAAGTATCTCAAATTTATTTTTCGATTAATATTTCTTTATACGTAGAATAACGAGAAGAACTAATTTATATATTTAAGAAAAACACGTAATTTTATTTCAGAAGGCTGATAAAAAGGTTAGGTTAGATATATTTACTTACTAATTTCTCGTTCTTCTTTCTTATTCTTCATCAAAATGCGTAGTACGGCAGACTTTTCATTTGAAATTTCCGCTAGAATTTTATGGCTGAACTCTTGCACTGTCTAAAGACCTGGGGCAGCGAATTCAGAACTATTTCAGACCTAGGACAACTGCACTTCGAAAAAGAACAGCAAGTCTAACGTCACTTCCGAGAAAAAGAACGTTTCAGTGTATACTTTTCACAGAGTTCAGTCCTGAAGTGTGGAAAAAGAACAAACCTCTAATGTCAGGCAACAGGCAGTAAGAATAAAGGCTCGTCTACAATAGCTGTAAGAGTATGGCTGTAAGGCTGTAACGTAAGCTGTCAGCGAATGAAAATATTTCATTTCGTGTCTTGCAACCTTACAGCCTTACTCTTACAGCTAATGTAGACGAGCCTTAAAAATAGACCAATCACAATAGATTATTCTTGTAATAGTCGATTGTGATTGGTCTATTTTTATTCTTATTGCTTGTTGCCTGGCATTGTGTTTAAGGCTTAACTGTTACGACATGTTTTGTGTTTTGGCCCTAATCCGGATTAATCTTGCCGTGTAAACATAGTCAGTGACTCTCATTCTTCTCGAGTCGGGATGCGTTCCGAAAGTTGCAAAAAAATGGGCACAAACCTTTATGTCCGTGAGTGTACCCTGACCGGCTACTCCTAAAACTCTATTATCTGGGAACAAACATCAACGCAAACTTTCTAGAAAAGGACTCCTTTAATACAAATAATTTCCCAGCCTTTCAGGAGATAGCCAAGTTTCTTGCACGCACCAATCAGATTATTTAGGACCGGTTGTTCCAACTTCTCGGTAAGTTAACCGATAGTTAAATCATACATTTGTCTTTGTTTTTCCTTCAACTTGGACAAAGACAGACATGATTTAACTGTCAGTTAACTTACTAAGAAGTTGAAACAACTGGCCTTTAATCACATGTTTTTTTCTTGAAACGCATGACTGGCATAGGAGCGGAATTATCCCGCTTGGAGCCATCTATTGAACCATGAACCATGAACCATGAATGAACGAACGTAGCTGTCAAACCAATCAGCTGTTGTCAATTCACAAAATACAGTGATACTAAAATGCCAAATTTTTGGAGGATGATTAATGATCCGGCATTATGTGCTAATCAAAGGATGGACTATGTAAAATGAAATTTCCCATATTCCTGTCCCAAACGTCTAGTACATAATTGAAGTACTCAATTCTGTGCAGCTAGTTTTTAATTATAGGATATACAGGCGTGTAGTGTGTAACCTATGAATTTAGGCGTATTCAACAGAGTTAATCTCAAGGTGCTTACGTCTAATTATAGAGAATATTCAGTCAACTATCATGTTTATTTTTAGTTGTTACACAAGTAGCTTATAGAAATAATAATATGAAATTTATATAATTTTTTAAATTTCCATTTATATTTATTTGTGGTTACTATTTAATTTATATGCTTATATTTTAATTGTATTATATATTTAATATTGTTTTACATTATGTATAAATGAAGGAAGAATTTATAAAACTATAATTGGTTTTTCAGGATTCCCAAGGAGGAATGTATTCAGAATGGGCTTCGCTAAGTACTCTGATCCAGCAGGGTTCAGAGGAAAGTCAGAGTGTACTCGAAAAGTTTCCTCCTGGTGCAGGAAGAGATGTAGCACTATCTATAGTACGTCAACTTGCAGCTAATCTTGGTATCACTCAAGCAGGAGAGCCTAGTCCACTCTGCACTGACAAAGAAGTCCAATGGTGCATGGAAGTGATATGTTTTGGATTGTCATTACCATTGGCTGAGCATGATACTGTCAGAGATTGTGTCAACATATATTGCGAATGGCTTTCTGCATTGTATTCTGCACCAAAAGTTTCTGTACCAGGACCAATTATAGATGACCCAAACTTCTATGCAAGGAAAATTATAAGCCATTTTCACAATTTATTTGTCCCAAGAAAAGGAGAAGGTGAGATAGATATTCTTTTGTTTAATATTGTCTTTTCAATTTATCATTGACCTAATTTCCAATAATATTTGCATTTTCCTTTCTAAAGTCTGGCCTTTTTTATATCAGGATTTAGGTAATTCACAATATCAAATGTAATTCCTTTAATATGTATACTTATTATATAATTGTTTGTTGATACATTAATATTTACAATACTGAAGCTATAAATGTTTTAGGTACAGATACAATAAATCGACAGGCTGTTCTGTGTCATCGAGTATTAAGGACTTTTCAGCAGATTGCAAGAGGTCCAGCAACTTTGGAGAGAGAAACGTGGGAAAGTCTGCTGTTGTTTCTTATTGGTATTAATGATGCTTTACTGGCACCGCCGGCGACTAGAGAAGATGCAGGGGAACAGCTCTGTGAAAGAGTACTTGGTGTATTGTTGGAGGTGCATAAATATGAAAACGATTAATTCAGTAATGTGTTTTCATTACTGTTAACTGTTAAATTTATTAATGTTAACAACGATTTTAAACTAATAAAACGGTTTGTTTCTCAGGTATGGCTGGTATCTTGCGAACGCAGCTTTCCATCACCTCCTTTATGGCGTACGTTACGAGAATCTTGCCTGCGATGGCGACACAGATTAGCTTTGGTGGAACAATGGAATCGTGTATGTCTCGCTCTAACGGCAAGACTATTACAGATTATGTATGGGCCGATGTTTCCTGAATTGAAGATTAGTATGTATCTTTGAGTTTGTACTTCGAATTCAGCCATTAATCTAAATAATAAATTATATCAATCGTATTCATATCCTTATTCACAATCAAAAGATATAAAAATGATTCAATCAAAATATTTCAGTTTAATGTTATTTGGATGTATCTGCTACTTGTTACCTATGTTAACAGGTGAGGAAGACACACAATTGGTACCATCCACTATGCCAGACGAAGCAGTGGCGCAAGCATGGTACAGGCTGCTACGTACTATCGGCGACCCCGTAGATCTGTGTAGACCTGCTATTGTTTCGCAAACGCAAGCATTTCTACAATATGCTATCGCTAGTCCAAACGTTATAGATCCCTGCCAACATCCATGTCTGCAGAATTTGCCGCAAATATTTTTGAAAGCTATAAAAGGTGTAGCAAGCCAAGTTGACGCTTTTCTCGGTAAGTTTAAGATACTAATTTGAGCGAATATTCTGTTGTAATTTATCGAAGAATGTATATATAATTGAACAATTGTAAATTATGATAATGATAAGACACTTATGATCTATATACTTGCTACGATCTCTCTCACATCTATGAAACTCACGCACGTCTTGTCGGCTTACTCACGTTATACTGGTGGGGGTTGCACACTGTCACAAATGTTTCAGGAGTTTCACAGGCATGCTGCTGGGAAGAATGTTGTGTATCCAACATTACGTCGGGAAATAGTAACATAGGAGGTGGGGGTGTCGGATGGGACAGGTCGGGTGGCAAGGATCAGCCTCAGCCTTCCCCTACACCCCCAACGCAACGCAGACTTGCCAAAAGTTTCAGTGTCACACCTTCTGCGGTTACTAAGGGTATTTTCAGTGCAATATTTTCTTTCATCAATACTATATTCAATCTGTTTTGTCAATTATTTCCCTTCCCGAAAACTCAATACCACAAATATCTTAGTCATCGCACCCATTTTGTATCATATTTTTCTTACTATGTAACACATACTATACTATTTATGTTACGTTCTAATTCTATTAGAGCTAGACTGCGAATATTTATATAAAACAGCAAAATTACTTTTCTTATCTGAAAAAATCAGATTTTGCGTATCTTCATGATGAAATATGTCTCAATTTTAGTTCTCTATTTTCTTATTTCTTACCAAAATATATTAATAAAAACATCCGCAGTCTAATTAAAAGATAATATGAAGTACTGGTTGCAACAATTGTTAATATTAGATTTTTTAGTAAAGTTGAATTTCTATATTTTATGGCTAAAATTTAAGTAAAAAATTATTAAATTATATATATGTAATATATTTAATAATAAATGTTTCATAGGAATTCCAAAAGCATCATTAATTGGGTTAACAACAAGTCGTGTGATCAGTACACCACCGATGCTAATATCCAACTCCGGGCCATCGTCCGCTTCGAGTACAGCATGTAATATCATTTCTATGAGTTCATAGTTACGTTGCAAAAATTGCGATCACATTAAGATTATGATTTACAGCTATGACTTCGCTCGGTCAGGACATTAGGCCTCCTTTAGCTCCAGGACGTCCTAAATGTAACAGTATACTACATCTCTTCGGAGAATGGTTATTCGAAGCTGCATTTATTGGCACTGAAGGCTGGTCGCAAAATTTACCGCGTGAATATCTTTGATGACGAAATAAATATATTGCATGATAAATATGTTATATATAATTGTAATATTACAGAACCATCAGGTGCTTCGAAACGTCCATCCTCGGTACTCGTCGATGGACCAAGTTCGTTACAAGAAACCATAACCGATGTACCATCAACGCTTTGCATAGATCGCTATGAGTCAGGCAGAGCAGAGGCATTGGGCGCCCTATGCAGGATATTTTGCGCCAAGAAGACAGGCGAGGAGATCTTGCCTGTATATCTATCTAGATTTTACCAAGCGATGTATCATGGTCTCAAGGTGGACGAAGTATGTTATCGCTAATTCTAGCTAGTAGCTATCTAGTTTCTTGATTTAGAGATATATGATTTGTTTATATAATTACTTCATTTGTTTTTAGTTACATGAATGTGGCGAAACGTTGGCGAGTATTTTGTTAAATTCAGCTGACTTGTTTCGTCTCGATCTAAACGGTATACAAGTATTAGTGCCGGCAGTATTATCCGCTTTAGAAGTCGTCCTGCCAGAAAAAGACTTGAAACTGAAATCCAATCTAGTGTCAAAGCCAGATTTGAGAAGAGCTTCGATACATCTATTGATATCGATGTTAACGTTGCCTCTGCACTTTCAGGTAAATGCACGAAACTTATTATAGAAAAAGAATGTCGATTTGGATGATTTAAAATATAAATTATTATTGTAGAATCTCGCCATCAAGGAACTCCCGACATTTCCAGGCACAAACTCACTCGAAAAAACTCCCATAACATTTGTACAATTAAAATCGAGACTCATGAATTTACTTATAAACGCTTTGCAAGTGGAAACTGATCCTCAAAATACACATATGTTGTTGGGTAAGATATTGAACAAAGAAAAGATCCATTGAGAATTACAGAGCTTACAGAGTAACTTTCGCTTTTCGAGTAAAGATATGTATACACTTAATAAAATATACATTTTTACCCTAAACGTGTGGACGAGATCACATCATATGAACAATTTTTCTACCAGGGGCTCTTTTACTGAGTGTACAAGATTCTGCAGAAGCGGAAGAAGTGGAACAAGTCACGCAGCCAGATGTCGTGGCGAATGATTCGACTACCAATCTATTATCTTCAGGTTTGTCTCTAATACTAATAAAACGTTAGCTTGCATTCAATCGAATACACGGTTCTGAGTTACTTGGTATCAATTCCTATTTGTATCGAAATTTGACGAATAACCATGATATCATAGGCGTTAATTCTTTATATTACATTACATATATTACACTATTATACATATCACATATATTATACTATTATATATCAAAACAATATTTTTTTATCCAGATATCTTCTTTGAGTTGTAATGAGTTCATGGCGCTCATACAGAGCGTCATAAAGTATTATTATTTATTTTATAACGCTTATGAGCATGATTGGTTTCTCTCCAATGCTAATAAAATATCCAAGTCCTAATTATATTGCTACTTCATTTAATACAGCAATTTCTCATTAACATTTATCAGCAGCTTATGAATGGGAAAGTAACTCAGTATAATGATGCAATGTTAAAAATTACAATGCTTCAGTATCACCTTTCATCGTATCAGCTTTACACGTGCTTATATATAAAATGTTAATTTTTATTATATTACGAGTTGTGTTCTGTTGTGCAATTTCTTCCATTGTATCGTCTTATCATCGCTTAATAGTCACCAGCGATTCAGCCAGTCAAATAAGTATATCCAGTGATCAGCGATCAATTGGCGATGCCTCTGATATTGCGACTCTTCAAGAGGAATGCATTGCATTCGGTAAATACAAATACTGTTTATCTTGTTATACACGCTCATAAAGAAAAACCGCATTCAAGGACATTTGTAGAGTATAAATTTTGTTTCATGCTTGTTATTTGTTTTTATCGTTATATCTGAAATTGAAAAATACGCATAAGATGTCTTTTTAAATAATAAGTGATCAAGCGATTAAAATCCTATCATTTAAAAAAAATATATACATATATGCTATCATTTGAAATATTATATACCGAGTGTTTCAGACCACCCTGGTCACCTGATTTTTTCGTTAACGCGACATTTTAGAGAAAAATATTTCAGACAAAAGTTGTAGGGCATCAAAGGCATCAAAGGATCTATTTACTGACACTATAAATTTGACCTTGGGATAACCTTGAAAAGTCCAGTCAAGATCAACATAAAAGTCTTAAATGGATACCCCAATTTTTTATTACATCATTTTTTCTAGCAATTAATTTGAACAACTTTTGTCTGAAACATTTTTTTATTTATCTAATATTTTTTGAGATATTTAAAGAAAATTTGATAACTTTTTCAATATTTAACTCACAATATCTCGCTATTTGTCAGAAGAAAAAGTGGTACTAGACTTTTTTGCTCTATTTAGTCTCAAGAATATATTGTTCCAATAGTGCCCTGAATTTGGTTAATTTGATGATTTTGAAATTTCCAAAAATATAATAGTTAGCGAGATATCGTGAGTTAAATTGAAAAAGTTATCAAGTTTTCCTTAAATATCTCAAAAATATTAAGTAAATAAAAAAATGTTTCAGGCAAAAATTGTTCAAATTAATTGCTAGAAAAAGATGATGTAATAAAAAATTAGGGTATCCATTTAAGATTTTTATGTTGATCTTGATTTTTCAAGATTATCCTAAGGTCAAATTCATAGCATCAGTAAATAGATCCTTTGAAGCCCTACAACTTTGGCCCGAAATATTTTTCTCTAAAATGTCGCGTTAACGAAAAAATCGGGTGACCCTAATCTAGGGGTTCCCATTTAAAAAACGCAGTTGATCTTCAAATGACCTTCAAGGTCGAGGTCAAGGTCAAATTTGAGATCACAAGAAAACAGAACTATATGAATTTCGAAATTTCCCTTCGAAATCATGAAACAGTTTTAGCTTTTTTTAATATCTTTCATAGTTTTCGAGATTTTTTACCTGTTATATTTGAAATTTAGCACCCTGTATATACAGGGTATTTCATTCTAAGTGGTATGGTCGATTATCTCGCAAATCAATGATTTTATTGAAAAATTTTTTCAACGAAAGTTGCATGGCTTGAAGAGGGACACATGATGGAAATGTGGACTTGAGTGACCTTGTCAAAATCAGGTCAAGGTCATTAGTGTTTTTTCAAATGGAAACCCTTATTTTTTATTACATATTCTTGTAGCTTATCTCGAGAGGTTTCCAAAACACTATATAGTTACCGCCGGCGTTATCCATGTACGCATGAGCGGGATTCTTACGGATTGAGACTGTCTGCAAGAAAATGGAGCTCCATTTGAAGATCTTATCAACGGCTAAAGACATATTCGAACTGACCTTGCCTTAGTTGTCCGGATCAGTGATCAGTCTTGCCCTAGTTGGCCGGATCAGTGATCGGTCTTGCATTAACTTTCAAGGCTCATAACTCGGAAAGTACTCAATGAAACGTAACTTTATTATAGTGTTTTGGAAAGCTGTCGAGATAAGCTACAAGAATATGTAATAAAAAATAGGGGTTTCCATTTGAAAAAACATTAATAACGACCTGACCTTTTGACAAGATCACTCAACGTCAAGTCCACATTTCCATCATGTGTCCCCCTTCAAGCCATGCAACTTTTGTTGGAAAAATTTTTTCAATAAAATCATCGATTCGCGAGATAATCGACCATACTACTTAGAATGAAATACCCTGTATATACAGGGTGCTAAATTTCAAATGTAACAGGTAAAAAATCTCGAAAACTATGAAAAATATTAAAAAAAGCTAAAACTGTTCCATGATTTCTAAGGGAAAGTTCGAAATTCATAAAGTTCTGCTTTTTTGTGATCTCAAATTTGACCTTGACCTCGACCTTGAAGGTCATTTGAAGGTCAACTGCATTTTTTTAATGGGAATCTCTATTTTTTAATACACTGTCTTTGTCTACCAATTAATTTGAACAACTGTTGTCTAAAACATTTTTTTATTTGCCTAATATTTTTTTAGATATTTGAGGAAACTTGATAACTTTTTCAATATTTAACTGACAATATCTCGCTAACTATTTGTCGGAAGAAAAAATGATACTAGACTTTCTTGCTTTATTTAGTATAGTATAAGAATATATTGTTACAATAGTGCCCTGACGTTTGTTTGATGGTTTTGATGGAATTTGATGATTTTGAAATTTCCAAAAGTCAGTAAGTTAACAAAAATCAGGGCACTATTGTGACAATATATTCTTGAGACTAAATAAAGCAAGAAAGTCTAGTATCTCTTTTTCTCCCGACAAATAGTTAGCGAGATATCATCAGTTAAATATTGAAAAAGTTATCAAGTTTCCCTCAAATATCTCAAAAAATATTGGACAAATAAAAAAATGTTTTACAACAGTTGTTCAAATTAATTGGTAGAAAAAGATAGTGTAATAAAAGATAGGGGTCCCCATTTAAAAAACGCAAGTTGACCTTTAAATGACCTTCAAGGTCGAGGTCTAAGTCAAATTTGAGGTCACAAAAAATAGAACTTTATGAATCCTAAAACTTTTGTTCGGGTCATTTTCCCTATAATACATATATTCTGAGATAATGGGGTGAGTCCGTTACTTTTAGAAAACTTGGTATATATATACATATACACACACACACACACACACACACACACACACACACACACACACACATCACACACATACACATCACACACACATCACACACACACACACACATCACACACACACACACACACACACACATCACACACACATCACACACACATACACGCATATCTTTAACACTTATATTAGGATTCTTGTTTTTAAATTATTCAAGGAATTTAATTTTACGAGGTTTATTATAAGAAATGTGAGACATCTTATGTATATATCCTATTTAGAATTTACTACACATTATAAGTATTTAAGATATATATTTGAACAAAATACACGTTAAATACATTATATCTTACGCATAAACTTAATGACTAAATTTTTGCAGACTCCGCGCACGCTCTTTTTGTACGCGCTACGTACTTAGTGTGTCATCGTCTGATTTCCTCGTGGAAGACTGACTTGAATATTTCTCTGGCAGCGCTAGAGATGCTGTCGGGATTAGCACGCACACATATTCGTGAAACAGGTAAGAATCGTATATAACTATATGATTTAATAAATTTTTTCATTCTATTCCATTATCTTATATATATATATATATTAGGTGTAGTAAAAAGAAATCCATTATTTTTGCATGAAATTGAAGGCTTTAATTACCATAGTTGGAATGATCCGATTTAGATCAAATATGCGCCGTTTTGTTCGATAACTTGTTGCCATTTTGAAGGTAATTTCATTATGCCTCTCTCATAGAAGCCCTCGTCCCTATTGGCAAAAAATTGAGACAGTCGATTTTCACAAGCCTCTCTTGAAGCGAATTTTTCACCAGAAAAATTGTTCGCCATGGACAGGAACAGATGGTAATCACTTAGTGCCAGGTCCGGATTATAAGGTGGATGCATAAGAACTTCCCAACCAAGCTCCTGGAGCTTCTGGCGAGTCACTATCGATGTGTGTGGCCTGGCGTTGTCCTGATGGAACACAATTCCTCTCCGATTGGCCAAAGCTGGCCGCTTCTGGGCGATTGCTTCCTTCAGACGGTCCAATTATTGACAGTACAGTTCCGAGTTAAGAGTTTTGCCGTAGGGGAGCAGCTCATAGTAGATAATTCCCTGCCAATCCCTCCAAACACACAGCAAAACCTTCCTGGCCGTCAATCCTGGCTTGGCCACCGTTTCCGCCGGCTCACCGCGATTCGACCACGACCGTTTTCGCTTGACGTTGTCATAAGTGATCCACTTTTCATCACCAGTTACCAACCGCTTCAGAAATGGGTCGATTTTGTTGCGATTCAGCAGCGATTCGCAGATGGAAATTCGGTCCATGAGGTTTTTTTTTGTTAACTCGTGTGGCACCCATACATCGAGCTTCTTTTTGTATCCAGCCTTATTCAAATGGTTCCAAACGGTTTTTTGTGCAATCTTTAGCTCTTGGGCAATCAAAACAGTGCTTACATGACGGTTGGACTCGACAATGTCCATGATTTTATCGATATTTTCGACAATTGGCCTTCCTGTGCGTGGTGCATCTTTGACATCGAAATTACCGGAACGGAATCGACGAAACCAAAATTGCGCGTGATTGGCTGTTACAGTATCAGGACCATAAATACTATTCACATTTTCAGCTGCCTGGCTTGCGTTTTCGCCTTTATCGAAGAAAAACTGTAAAATATAGCGTATTTTCTCTTTGCTAGTGTCCATCTTTGACGCGCGCTCAAACAAAACTGAGTCAACTAATCACAAAACTGTCAGAAAAGTTTTTTTAGTACGAAATCTCATCTTTCTAACGCCATCTAGTGGAACCCGATCGGACTTATACAACGCGAGATACAGATAACTAATGCCATCTATTGGAAAAATAATGGATTTCTTTTTACTACACCTGATATATATATATATATATGTGTATATATATATATGTGTGTGTGTGTGTGTGTGCGTGTGTGTGTGTGTGTGTGTGTGTGTTATATAAACATGTACTTATTGAAAACAATTTTACACGCAGCGAGGAAACTTACAGGTTTGATATCAATAAAAAGAATTAAGTAATATATATATATATATTGGGAGTACAAATTAGTTCAGTCCGTTTTTGTGTTAAAAAATGTATTTATTTCAAAACAAAATGAATGAACAGATCAATTAAAGTATTTTCCATCGCTGGCTCCTACTTTCTCCCATTTCTCAGGCAATTTTCGAATTCCATCTCGAAAAAATGACTCGTCTTTTGAGGCGATCCAAGTTTGGAGCCAATTTTCGATTTCTGCGAAAGAAGTAACCCGGTGACCTGTCAAATCGTGTTGCATCCTTCGGAACAATCAGTAATCAGAAGGAGCAATGTCCGGAGAATACGGCGGATGCGGTAAAACATCCCATTTGAGCGTTTCCAAATATTTTTTTACGACTTTTGCGACATGAAGCCGAGCGTTGTCATGAAGAAGAATAATTTTATCATGTCTTTGCTCGTATTCCGGCCGGTTTCTCACAATGCACGGCTCAAACGAATCAATTGTAGCCGATACCAATCGCCCGTAATGGGATCTTCAGGTTTCAGCAGCTCATAGTAAACATACTTTTGGTCCCACCAGATACAGAGCATGATCTTCGAACCATGTATGTTCGGCTTTGGTGTTGATGTTGAGGTCGATGGCAACAATTGACCGGGCTTGGCATAGTATTTCTTCTTCTTAGGGTTGTCGTAGAATATCCACTTCTCATCTCCAGTTGCAAAAATCTTTTCTTTGTTGCCTTTGAATCAGCTGCTCGCAGGTGAAAAATCGCCTTTCAACATCTCTCGGTTTCAGTTCATAAGGCACCCAATTTCTTTGTTTTTAAATAAATCCCATGTCTCTCAATCGTACGGAAACGGCTTGTTGAGTCACTCCCAATGATTCTGCAAGCTCCTCTTGCGTTTGACTCTGATCTTCTTTGAGTAATGCCTCTAATTCTTTGTCCTCGAATTTTTTTGGCTGTCCAGAGCGAGGCTTTTGTCTTCAACGCTGAAATCTCCATCCTTGAAACGTCGAAACTATTTCCTACATGATTTATCAGTTGGAGCAGCGTCACCATAAATTTCAACAAGCATTCGATGGGCTTCAGCTGCACTTTTCTTCCAATTAAAGCAGAAAATTAAAACCTCCCGCAAATGCTGCTTGGTTAACGCAAAATTCGACATTTTCAACACTGTAAAAAGCAAGGTTTTTGTATGAAACTCAAAGCGATATAAACTGAATATTATTGGCAGATGTCTAACCTCTCTAAAACCGCCAAAATCGGCAGTCACTATGAACCATTCATAACAGCCGGAGCTATCTTTTGAAAACGGACCGAACTAATTTGTACACCCGATATATATATACACAAGGTGGCCCATGTAAAATATTACAAGTCCATAACTTAAAAAATATTTATGAAATCAAAAAACTGTTCATAAAGAAGTTTCATGTATTCGAGAGACTTCTCTAATTACATAAACATAAAGCCCCCGCTTCCCCTTTAAGGAGGGACAGGGGTAACTTCATAATTTTAAATGGAACCCCCTATAAAATGTTGTATATTTGGATTCTACGGGAAAAACAAATAAATTTTATCTGAAACATTTGTTTAGAAAATGCTTCTATCAAAAGTTATAAGCATTTAAACCTTTAGCGATTTCATTCATGATTGAACTCCATTGATACAAAGTTGCGTTTGCGATACAACAAAAGCAAAAAAGACCTTAGAGTATATACTTGATGTTAACCAGAAGAAATATAAATAAACACATTTATCGGGAAACGTAAATACAGATCACAGACAAATACAGATCATCAGACATTTAGTTAGTTTTAAGCTGGTTTTCATGCTATCAAGTTTGAAAATCATGGCTCATTTTCATGTGGAAGTTAATATGTTGCTAATTCTGGGAGAATGTGAGAAAAATTATTGACGTACAGCGCAACTATTTTTAGAATGTCGATAATTTTTCTCACATTCTCCCAGAATTAGCAACATATTAACTTCCACGTGAAAACAAGCCATGATTTTCAGATTTGATAGCATGAAAACCAGCTCAAAACTAACTACACAGTCTGTCCCAGATCCAATGAGACTGGTCTAAAAAAAATACAAAGCGTTTATTATTTTGATTTTTTATTCTTGTTTATTCAAAATAGTCTCCTTTTGAGTCAATACAGCGCTGGAAACGTTCAACAAATTTTTCGAAACATTTTTTATATTCATCGGCTGGAATGGCCTTTAGTATGGCGGTCGAAGTCTTTTGGATGACCGGGATGGTATCGAAACGATTTCTTTTCATCGCCAATTTCAGTTTGGGAAATAGCCAGAAGTCGCACAGAGCCAAATCAGGTGAATACGGTGGATGATCGATAACAATGATGTCTTTTTTGGTCAAGAATTCACGTACCATGATGGCTTTGTGCGATGGTGCATTATCGTGTAACAAAAACCAACTGCCTGGCTCTCGATATTCCGGCCGAACTCGTCGAATTCTGGCCCACAATCGTTGTAGAACTTCCAGATAATATCTGGGCAGACACACAGCGGTCGCTTCGGAGAATTTCTTTGACTTTCTCGATGTTTTCTTCATTGCGAGTGGTTTTTGACAGCGTCTGCAAGGTCCTCACGACCATCACGGAATCGGCCAAATCAACGGAAAACCTGTGCACAGGACATGCATTCATCCCCGTACACATTTTTTAGCGTTTCGTACGTTTCTGCACCACTTTTACCCAATTTAAAACAGAATTTAATATTCGCTCTTTGTTCCATGTTGGTTTTTCGACCGACGTACACAAAGTGACTTTACATAAAATGTCAAACCACAGTGAAATATCAACCGAATTCGCTCAAATTTTGAGGTTAAGTAGATTAAGGGTACAACATTCACCTACCATCATTCACTCATAGATATCGCTGCGCTAAGAACTTTGATGGAACCAGTCTCATCGTATCTGGGACAGACTGTGTAAATGTCTGATGATCTGTATTTGTCTGTGATCTGTATTTACGTTTCCCGATAAATGTGTTTATTTATATTTCTTCTGGTTAACATCAAGTATATACTCTAAGGTCTTTTTTGCTTTTGTTGTATCGCAAACGCAACTTTGTATCAATGGAGTTCAATCATGAATGAAATCGCTAAAGGTTTAAATGCTTATAACTTTTGATAGAAGCATTTTCTAAACAAATGTTTCAGATAAAATTTACTTGTTTTTCCCGTAGAATCCAAATATACAACATTTTATAGGGGGTTCCATTTAAAATTATGAAGTTACCCCCGTCCCTCCTTAAAGGGGAAGCGGGGGCTTTATGTTTATATAATTAGAGAAGTCTCTCGAATACATGAAACTTCTTTATGAACAGTTTTTTGATTTCATAAATATTTTTAAAGTATTGGACTTGTAATACTTTATGTGGGCCACCTTGTGTATACAGGGTGTCTCAGAACTTTAGGACACGGGCTCCGTAGGGACCTAGAGCTAAATGAGAACAAAAAAGTCCTCTACCATAATGTGAAAATCATAATTGTTTTTTAGTAATAACCGTGTAAAGTTTGGCGTTTTCCACGCCCATCGTGACCTATAGACGCTCCGCGGCAAGCTGTGTGCGTAGGAGCTGAGCAATAACGCGTCTCGCGCGGCCAAGACGCGATGGCGTCTTGGCGCTTTGACGCTGCGCGACGGTCAGCGCGAGCCGCGTTGTCGCTCAGCCCCTACGCATACAGCTTGCCGCGGAGAGTCTATAGGCCGCGCTAGGCGTGGAAAACGCCTAACTTTAGGCTGTTACTACTAAAAAACTATTACGATTTTCACATTATGGTACAGGACTTTTTTGTTCTTCTCACTTAGCTCAATGTCCCTACGGAGCCCGTGTCCTAAAGTTCTGAGACACCCTGTATATAGGATGTCCGAAATGTGATCATTAATATTTTGTGCACTGATAGATTGGGTGTAGCCGAGAAGAAAATGCATGTACCATAATGTCAAATTGGCAATAGTTATCGAGTTATTAATTGAAACATGTGAGCCAATGAGCGCGTAGAGAGCGCTGGGCGGCCGCCTCTTGTCGCTTGCGCTCGCTCGTTCGTTCGTCGTTCGCGCTCGCTCGCTCCTCGTCGCGCGCGCACGCCTCTTGTCGCTTACGGTTGCCTCTCGCCGCGCGAGGTAAGCCATCTTCTTATACACAGAGCTCGTCCTGTCGCTTTCTCGTGCGCTCATTCGTTTACACATTTTAATTAATTACGGAATAAATATTGAAAAAATTGTAAAATGGCACAGGACTTTTTTAATTATTTTAACGAGTTCTACCAGTACATAAAATATTAATGATCACATTCCGGATACCCTGTATATATACAGGGTCATCGGAAAGTATCGGACCTCCCTAATATCTTCAGTTAGAATGCATTTTGGAGAAAATGTCCAATAGCAAAGTTGTATGGTTTCAAGCGGGGAGTAAGATGATGACCTTGACTTTGTCCTTGACCATGTTCTTCAAGGTCATTTCAAGGTCAAACTTATTTTTTTAAATGGGACCCCCAACATTTTATTGTATATTCTTATAGCTTATCTCGAGAGCTTTCCAAAAGTACTATACTAAACATACTACAAAAATACTATAATAAAACATCTTTTGATTAAGTACTTCTTGAGTTAAAGGTTTGAAGTTAACAATTTTTTTACACAAAATGTAAAATATCTTGTAAAATATTATTTAGTTTTCAGTAATCATAACCTTAATACTTTTGTGCGCGAAATAATGAGACCAATTAATTGGTTTAAAGAAAATACATTAATCGAAAATTATCGGCTCCCCCTAATATTTTCAGTAAGAATGCATTTTGGAAAAATGTCCAATAACAAAGTTGTACGACTTCAAGCGGTTATGCTAGTAGGCTATGGCGGAAAACTGTCCGAAGGTGATCGCGAGAAGCTGCTCGAATGCGTAATGTCCGAAGGCGTTAGCGGGAATCTGCCCGAAAGCGTTGGCGGGGCCGATCTTTATTGTCTCACTCTCGCA